GAGCTAACAGGGACTGAGCACCCCCTGGGCCCACTAGCAGGGGAAGGGCTTTGCGGGAATTCACGCATCGCGTGTGCCCACTGCCCTTCAGAGGCGGTGCGGTCACTACCCAACAGCTGCCAGGTTCGGGATTTTGGTCTTGTTTTTGGCATTTAGGAGCCTCAGGTTTCTGAGGGTCTGTGATTGCTTGTTAGGACCCCACGCAAGTCCCTGACCCAGACTCCACCAGGATGTTACAGAGCTGGACTGGCGGACCGCAGACATCCGGCCTGCCATCCTTTTCTGTAAATAAAACTTTATGAAATAAATGGAACCTGACATGCTGTCTGTGGCTGCTTTCCAGCGACAATGGCAAAGCGGAGTAGTTGTAACAGAGACTGCATAACCCCCAAAGTGAAAAAGAATTGCTATTGATAGGAGGAAGGGCTCGTAATAGGAATAGGACCACCTTGTGTAATAATCATCCACCTTACTGACTATAGATAAGAGGTTTCTTTTTTTTTTTTTTAATCCTCACCTGAGGACATTTTTGCATTTATCTTCAGATAGAGTGGGAGGGAGAGACGGAGGAAGTGAGAGAGACACACCTAGTGGTTGCCACCCACACAACCCCAACAAGGGCTGGGGACAAACTGCAACCGAGGTACGTGCCCCTAGCGGGAACCGAACCCGGGACTCCCTGGTCCGCGGGCGGAGGCTCTAACCGCTGAGCCAAACCGGCCAGGGCTATAAGAGGTTTCTTACAGACCCTGGGAGATTGGAGGCCGTGCTGCAAGAAGACAAACAGGGCTGTAAACATGATAAGATGCCTCAAAGCCCAGATGGGTCCATTGCTCAGAAAACAAAATACATTTTGAGAGCAAAGGACAGGACACACTTGGACTTGATTGTTGTGTCTGGACCCTGACCCCCTCCAGGCATTTGCTTCAGGCCTGCGGACCATTCTCCAGTCCCAGGAGTGGGAGGAGCTGCTTGTAACATCAGAGACAATTAATTACCTTGTTATTGGACGTCAGGATCCTGGAAGGAGACACATGGATCACAGGCCCTACAGCTCTTACCCTGCCCCCCTCCCCCCTGCACACAGCCCCCTTGTTACTTATCTTCTGTAATCAGCTGGCTGTTAGGAGGTGGGAGAGCAGAATTTCCAGGGTGACCTGCCACTCTCCCGTACTGCCCGCATTATTGGAATAAATGCTCATAGATGATTCACCCCTGTCTCTGCTCAATTTGGCTCAAGTAGTGACAGGCGGCCTCGGACCGGTGTGTCCGGTATCACCATCTGGCCCTTTTCATAAAGTTTCCCAGCTCCATCATATAGGATTATGGTTCTAAGAAGCACCAGTTTATGGAATCAGATAGACTTGGGTTTGGGTTCAGATCCTGGCTTCACCACACACACTGTTCAACTCTAAGTTCTCTCTCCCTCTGTTCCTCAGTCTCCACATCTGAGACATGGGGCTGATTGCACCTCTCGGGGTGGCCATGAAGGCTCTCAGGGCTGTGTTGTCCACGTGGCAAATGATCTGTAACTGTCCACTGTTACCAGTAATAGTAGGAAGGCCTCCTCCGAGCGGCTCCTTTTACTTGATGTTCTGGGCTTCTGCGTAAGATTGCAAGGAGAATGTCCCTGCTGCTTTAAAGATGGTTTGAAAATCACTGCTTTACATCAAGTTGGCAGAGGCCTTGGTGGGTGCCCTTGAGGGACTCACAGTCTGAAGGGGCCTCTTCCTGCAGAACTAACCAGCCTGGTAGATTCAGGGCGCTGCAGGGGCTCCCCAGGAAGGAAACAGGATTGGGGTTCCCAGGACAGGCAAGCTGTATCAGTTATCTATTTAGGTTTTTATTTAATTATTTTTTTTAAAGCACAAAGTGCTGCTTTTTTTTTTTTTTTTTATCCTCACCCGAGGACATTTTTCCATTCTTTACTCAGAGCGGGAAGGAGAGAGAGGAAGAGAGAGAAACATCGATGTGAAAGGGACACATCGAGTGGCCACCACCCACACGACCCAACCAGGGCCGGGGACAAACTGCAGCCAAGGTACATGCCCTTAGCGGGAACCGAACCCGGGTCTCTGTGGACCGCAGGCCGACGCTCTAACCGCTGAGCCAAACTGGCCAGGGCGAAGTGCTTCTTTTTTTAAATTGATTTTGAGAGAGAGAGAAACACTGAAATGAGAGAGAAATATCGAGGATTGGCTGCCTCCTACATGCAGCCCAACCTGGGATCAAACCCGCAACCCAGGCATGTGCCCTGACCAGGAACTGGACCAGAGACCTTTTGGTGCACAGGACGACGCCCAAGCAACCGAGCCACACCGGCCAGGGCTCAGTTATGTATTGCTGCATTACACATTACCCCAAAATGTAGTGGCTGCAGCATCATCTCGGTTTCTGCGGGTCGGGAATTCAGGAACGTCTCAGCTGGGAGGCTCTGGCTCAGGGTCTCTTGCGAGGTAGCATTCAAGCTGTTGGCCTAGTCTCAGTCTACCTGGAGGCTGGACTGGGCAGGAGGACCAACTTCCTGGGTGGCTTCTTCACATAGCTGTTGGCTGGAGGCCTCGGTTCCTCAACCACGTGAGCTTGTCCACAGGCTGCTTGCGTGTCCTCAGACACGGCAGCTGGCGTCCCCAGAAGAAGAGCAAGGAGGAATTTGTAGTATCTTTTATGCGCTCCCCTTGGAAGTCACACACCTGCCCTTCAGGTCTTACTCCAGTCATTAGAATTTATCCTAAGTCTGTCTCACACTGAAAGGGAGGGGACTTAGACTCCACCTCGTGGGCACATACCTGAGGACCAGCACACAGAGCCTGTAGCGGTCTTTCGGGAGCACTGGGCCAGTGGTGCTCAGGGTTGGCTCGAGAAGCCGCAGGGATCGTAATCATCCCATTGCTCAGCTCCTGCTGTTGGCCGGGGCCTCAGATTCTTGAGCTAATACAATCCCAGTCTGGGGCTGTTTGGGGAAAAAAAAACAACCACCAAGTGGCAAAGCATAGAGAGAAGAATTTGAACACCCAATCCAGTGGTGCCTGGAATTGTTTTTCAATTTAAATTTAAAGCACCCCTCCTGCTCTGTCCCTGTGACTGTGCTAGACTCAGGTGAGGTACTGGCTCCCCTCCAGATGCTCACGGTAAAGGGAGACAGAATTCAGAACTGATCTTCAGTACCGGTGATCAGTGCTGGAGGATTGATGAATGAACCAGTGTAGACGAACAGAGGAGGGAGGGATCAGGTTTGCTGGGGCATCTTCCCCGAAGAAGCTATTGTGATGAGCTTTGAAGGATGAGTAGGAGCTCATCTCCATGTTAAAGGAAGAAGAACTTTGGGGGGCGGGGATAGCCTATAGCAGGGCATGATGTGGCTGGGAGCCCAGTGGATTTGGGAAACTAAGCAGTATGGAGAGTGTGGGCAGGTGGCAGGGAATGAGGCTGCCAGTTTGGGCTCAGAGGCTGACTTTAATGTATGATCAATAGTATATTTTATGCCCTGGCCAGTTTGGCTCAGCAGTTAGAGCGTCGGCCTACGGACCAGAGGGTCCCGGGTTTGGTTCCCACTAATGGCACGTACCTCGGTTGCGGTTTGTCCCGGGCCCCAGTTGGGGTCGTGCGGGTGGCAAGCAGTCGATGTATCTCTTTCACATCGATGTTTCTCTCTCTCCCTCCCGCTTTATCTGAAGATGAATGCAAAAATGTCCTCAGGTGAGGATAAAAAAGAAAACAGTAGTGTATTTTGTGACTCATGGTTCTGTGAGATGTTAACAGACTCTAAGTTTATTTAAGTTCAAGGAGCCCAAGGTTTAGCACAATGAAAGCGGCGTCCTGACTCCAGGACTTTAACTCTCTCCAAGAGAAGGCTCGAGTAGACGGGATCCCATCAAATAAGTTTGGCAGGATTCCCAAACTTATTTGATCATGGAACCCCCTTCCCAAGGTAGCCTTGGGAGTCCGGTGTTCCACGTAACACACTTGGGAAATGCTGCCTGTAGGTATTGTCAAGAGTTCGTGAGTGTTCTAATGAGGTGGGTGGTCTGATCAGATTGGCTCTGTCTGGCTGCTGTTAGGAGGGCAAAAGCCAGGAGATGGAGGAACTAGGTCGGGCCGAGGGAAGGTTGTCAGATAGAGACGGGGTGGGATCTGCAGGCTTGCAGGTTGATTAAATTGGCTGGGGGGTTGGAGGGTGAGGAGGGGAAGAAAGAATTCTGGCTGACGTTCTGGTTTCTGGCAGATAGGATGGTATTGACCAAGATGGAAGGATGGCGGAAGGTATTTGGTGGGGTGGATGGAGCGGGAACTTCTGTGTCAGGTGGAGATTGGTAACTGGGCGTGGCCAAATTACCTACACTTAATTTATGGGGGAAGTGGAACGTGACATTTAACACCCTAGAAGAAATGGACTCGTTCCTTGAAAAGCACGGCTTACCCAAACTGACACAACATGGAAACGGAAAAGCTAACGAGCCCCATGTCTATTAAAGAAGCCCAGTGTGTCATCAAACGTCTTTGCACAAAGACAGTGCCAAGGCCAGACCGTTTCCCTGGTGAATGCAATCCAACGCATAAGGAAGAATCAACACCGGTCTTACACAAACTCCTCAGAAAGTCGTTAGTGGGAGAGGTAACGTCACGCTCGGCTTCCACTCAGACAGGTGTGGCTCCCCATTCAGGCTCCGTTGCTTTTCTCCGTGGAGAGTCCTGTTTTGAATACCTACGACGCGTCCGACACCGTTCTAGGCACTGAAGTTACATGAATGAACGAGGCAGATACAACTCCCTGTCCTCGCCGTGTTGTGCAAGGTCGTGGGGTGGGTCCTGAGCCTCAGTTTCCTCTTCTGTGAAGTGGGGACAGCAGTGTCCTGTTTCCTGAGCGTTGTCAGGACCCCTGGTGATGGCGAGGGGAGGGAGGCAGGCAGGCAGCCAGCAGCGGGCAGTCCCCCAGCGGCCACTGATGCTTGTCTCTCTGTTGTGTGTGTACGTGTGTGTTCCACGGCCTGCCCTCTCAGGCTTTAAAATGTGTGTCAGCAGCAGCAGCAGCCACGATGAGGCCCCCGTCTTGAATGACAAGCACCTGGATGTGCCCAACATCATCATCACCCCCCCGACCCCCACGGGCATGATGCTGCCAAGGGACTCCAGGAGGACAGGTGAGGCCACCCTGCCCCGCTGCCAAGCCAGGTTGGACTGGGGCGGAGTCTGGCTGGGGACAACTCCAGGGGTCCCCACCTCCCTGGATTTATTTATTTATTTGTTTGTTTGTTTATTTTTATCCTCACCCGAGGACATTTTTCTTTATCTTCAGATAGAGTGGGAGGGGGAGAGAGAGAGAGAGAGAGAGAGACAGACAGACAGACAGACAGACACATCGATTGGCTGCCTCACGCACTGGGACCGGGGACCAAACCGCAACCCAGGTACGCGCCCTTGACTGGAATCGAACCCACAACTCTTGTCTGCAGGCCGATGCTCTAACCCCTGAGCCAAACCGGCCTCCCAGGGCCTCCCTGGGTTTATTAAAAATTGACCCTCGGATCTCCACGGTGGGCCCCTCTCCGTGGCTCAGCCTCAGCAAGATGTGGCATGTTAAGTAATTAGCCAGACAATCCCTGCCGGCAGCGGAGCCGGAGATGGACGGGGCCGGGCAGGCTCGCCACGGGGATTGACGGATGCGCCCTCCCCTGCTAGCCAGGCGACTGATGCTCCATCTTGCCGGCTGCAGAGGTTCAGCTGGACAGGACAGGCTCGGAAATACCCCCGTGCCAGGCTGGGGCTGATGGCTGGGCCTTCGGGGCGCGGCTGACTGCAGGGAGGGTAGAGAAGATGGAATTGTTCCCAGAGAGAAGGTGAGAGGGAGAAGCCCAGACTGGTGCCTCTAAGTGCCCCTCTGTCGACACCGTTGAAGCTGGTGGGACAGATTGTTTATTTATTCATTACACAGATTTATTGAGCCAGACCTGTGCTAGGTTCGGAGGCTGCTGTTGTGAAATAATAATAATAATAATAGTAATAGTAATAATAATAAATAATGATGCTGATAGCAATAAATGAGTCCTAATACTAATTCTGAGTTAGGTCTAGTTTTCATCCCCATTTTATAGATGGTAAACTGAGGTTCAGAGAGCTCGAGACACTCACCATACAGCTGGTAAGTGGCAGAGTTGGGATTCAGACCCGGGCGGCATGATGTGGAGTTCACCTTGTGGGCCCTTAGTCTAGAGCCTCCCAGCGGCCAGCGTCATTCAGCCAACCAGCCACCGAAATGTGCGTCCTGCCAGACGTGGGCGGGGGACACAGGCTGACAGGCTGATGTGGAGCTCATGGAAGTCTGGTGGGGGGAACGTTGGCACACTTTTCCTGACATGTCAGGTTCGGATCTCAGCTTACCCAGGAGGGTAAGATGCTAGAGAAAGATGCTGGATTCTGGGCCACGCTCAGTAAGGATTGTAATGGGTCACCTTCCTATGTCACATTCCCAAGTGGTAGGCGCTGGGCTAAAAGCTTTTCATAAATCTTATTTCTCACTCCGACCCTGTGGGCTGTAAGTACTGTCCTCATCTTTAGTTTACAGGTGGGGAGTCTGAGGCCCAGAGAGGGAAAGGGACTCACACGGGCACGCAGCAAGGTGGCAGAAGGGCTGGGCTCCTGTTCCAACGTCTAACCAAGAGCTCAGTCTGGGCAGTGGAGGCCTAGATCCTTGGCTTTGCCATTACACTCCCATCCCTCTCTGAGCCTCAGTGTCCCCATTTGTTAAATGGGATCCTAACCACCTTCCTTGCTTCTGGGGCCACGTGAATAAAGGGGAGGCTGGTGGATACACTACAAGGTCTGTGGGGTGAGAACCTGGAGGCCCTGGGCCCCCAGGGGGATTCCTGACCCTGGGAGCGGTTCCTTTTAAACATAAGCAGTTCAGCCCTGGCCGGTTTGGCTCAGTGGTTAGAGCGTCTGCCAGCAGACCAAAGAGTCGTGGGTTCCATTCCGGTCAAGGCACGTACCTCAGTTTCGGTTCAGTCCCCGGCCTTGGTCGAGGTCATGTGGGAGGCAAACAGTCAGTGTGTCTCTCTCACATCCATGTTTCCTCTCTCTCTCTCTCTCTCTCTCTCTCTCTCTCTCTCTCTCTCCTTCCCACTCTATCTGAAGATAAATGGAAAAATATCCTCGGGTGAGGATTAAAAAAAAAAAGTAAATGTAAGCAGTTCTTGGCACAGATTAGTGCAGAGGGACCAACACAGGGGTCCCCTCCTGCCGTGTGCGGAGGCAGCGCTCAGGCCTGACCCCCGCTTTCCCATCCAGAGAAGGGAAGCATGGGAGAAAGGGTGCAGGTGTGGAGTCCGAAACCCCTGAAGGTGGATCCTGGCTCTGCCACTCATCGGCATGTCGCTTTCAACCGGAAGCTTCACCTCCCTGAGCCTCAGAGTCTCCATCTGTAAAATGGAGACAATAATAGTGCCTCGGAGAGGTTGTAGAAGTTAGAGGAGGAAGACCAAGGGCTGATTCCTGTGGCGTGGTGTGGATATTCTTGCCAGTGACATTCAGGGCGGAAGGAAGGACCACCAGCCCTGGGTGGCACTTCCTCCATGCCGCAGGGCTCAGGTGATGATAAGATACCTGGGACTTCCTCAGGCACAAGGAATAGGAGAGAACCCCAGAACCCCAGAACCCCAGCCCTGCCTGGCCACCTGCTGACTTGGAGCAGGACTCTGCTCTCTGAGCCTCAAATTCCCATCTCTAGAACCGCCCAGCCTTGGCCTTTAAGAGGCTGAGCCCAGTGTGGGCCTAGGGGTATCACAATGCTAGGAACCCCGGGAGCTCAGCACTGAGTGCGGGATGATGGGTGCATGGGAATCCGATGAGACCCAGTGTCCCTGGGATCTCCTCTTGACAACCGTTGATACCACTGCCCGTGTATAGGGGGCTATCAGGGAGGTGGTACAAAGCAAGGAGCCCAGAGGCACTGGCCTGGGAGCTCCCAGTGGAAGGGGGGCATAAATGGGGTGGGGGATCCGTCCACATGTTGATCCCCCTCTGTCTCCTAGTCTGGCTGGAAGAGACGGGGTCATGTCCGGAGGATGGAGAAATAGACCCTGAAGCCTAAGAAGGAGGCACAGTCAAGGATTTGTTGGCACCAGCTCCTGCTCTGGCCTCCTCATTCCACATGTTCCCAAAGGGGTGTAGCTGCCTGGGACAGATGTGCTGTTGGGAGAGTGATGTCAGCACTTGACCAGAAGTGTGGCAAGATGAGCAAGGAATCAGCCCTGCACGCTTCCAGAATGACGTTTCCCTGGCCCCACTGAGTAGACCGGACCTCTAATGCCTACATATTCTAGCTGACCCCAGGGCCACGGTGATGGCCATCAGGGTGCCAGGGAGAGTCTTTCTTCTGGACAAATACATTCCCAGCACCCTGGGCCATGCAGACAGTGCCCAGGAGATCAGCACTCACAAGAACTTCTTGCAAAGGAGTGGCTACATTTTTTTACAAGTTGTTTTACAGATATCAAAACAGTCCAAAAGTGATTTATAATTCTTTTTGCATTATAAATAAAGATCCTCTGTAATGAATGGTGAACCCTGCTTCTTGGGCTGGGTGGAGGAGATGGAGCACACTCCGATGCAGAGGTGGGTTTAAGAGAATCGCTGATCACAGAGGTCTAGCTGGTGATGAACCTTTGGACGGTCTCAGGCCCCTTGATTTGCAGATCGCTGCATGAGCCAGGACATGGCCAAGGACACGGGCTCATAAGTCACATAGATCTTGTTTGAGTCCTAGGTCCATTCCTGCCAGCCGTGGGATCCTGGTAATAATACGTCTCTAGGATGGGAGGCAATGGTTTTGTTTTAGTTTAAAGAACATCAAATTGTTGGTGTCCCCCTCTCCCCATAGACTGTCTGATCATGGCACATGTGTTTCTGTTCTTTTCCTTTGGTTTCTGTCAGAGGCTGTGTGGCTTTCCCTGACTTTGGTTGGTCCACAGTCATCATTGGGTTGTCCCAGAAGCAGAGCCTGGGCCATGCATGGCTTTAGGAGCAAGAGGTCTGTGTGGGAGGTGATCCTGGGACACATGGGTAGAGGAAAGGCAAGTGTCGTTCCCGGATCCCCAAGGCCACACTCGGATTCAGTACCTTGCTGGAAGGACTTAACTCAAAAAAAACCCATCATAGTCACGCTTGTGGTTTATTACAGCAAAAGGATACAGAGCGAAATCAGCAAAAGGAAGAAGCCCAGAGGGTGGGGTCCAGGAGAGACCAGAGCATCCAGGAAAGTCACACCCAGACAGAACTTCTCCCAGCAGTGATGGTGACACACACACCCTCGGTGTGGCCCACCAGGAACACTCACCTGAATCTTGGTGTCCAGAGTTTTCCCTGGGGGTTGGTCATGTGGACATGTCTGACCACCCACGTGGTGGCCTCAGTCTCCAGTCCCTCCAGAGGTCAAGGCTGATACCATGTGACCCAGGCCCCACCATTAACCACACCGTAGATGTCCCATGTGGCCCAAGGTCCAGGTAAACAAAGACACTCCTATCAGGTTGGGCATGCCAATGTTGAGAAGTCTTCTTTCAGGAACCAGAGGCCGAGGTCAGCTCTCTGGGCACAGTTCATTCTTTTTTTTTTTTTAATCCTCACCAGAGGACATTTTTCCATTTTTTCTTCAGATAGAGTGGAGGGGAGAGAGAGGAAGAGAGAGAGAGAAACATTGACATGAAAGATACACATCGAGTGGCTGTCCCCCGCACAACCCCAACCAGGGCTGGGTACGAATCACAACCGAGGTACGTGCCCATGATCGGAATTGAACCCGCGACTCATTGGTCCGCGGGGCGATGCTCTAACCGCTGAGCCAAACCGGCCAGGTGGGCCCAGTTCATTCTTCACTGCACAAGAATTGAGGCTGGGAAGGGAAGGGGCCATAAAGGAGCTGCAGCCAGTCCACACACACCTGGACACACCAGACCACTGAGTGCCCAGGTTTATGATGGACCCCACATTCAGGACCAGCTCCGTGGGCCTGTGATGAGCGCCTTCCAACAGAACCCACACTCAGAAGGACCCCCACTCGGCTGTTATTGCCTAGAAATTCTTAATCCTTGTTAAACAATGGCCCACATGTTCATTTTGCACCCGGTCCTCTGAATGATACAGTGGGTTCTGCTTCCTACAGAGACACACACAGCCTCTTGATGGGAGCGACGTCACAGGCACATTGTACGAAGAGCACGTGAGATGGAAGATGTTGCTCTGGCCATTTTTGGAACCGCAGTCCACCACCCCATTCATGCAGTTTTCTGTCTCCAGAATGCCTTTGCACCCCTTTCCCAGCCCAGCCCCCTGGCAAAGCCCAGATCCATTGCTGCCTGGTACTGCCCCACACCGGGCCATGCAGCTTGAAGTCTTTTCTTTCCCCCCCGGCCCCCACAGCACCCTCTTCTCTGCTAGGGCAGGGCACCCTTTGATTGTTTCATAATCACTGATGTGCAAGTCAGCAGAAGAAGGGGTGACCCTGTCAGCTGGGGCTCAGGACCTAGGGCTAATATACCCATACTCAACCCTTGGGTGCCTTCACACACTACCCTTAGAAAATAAAGCTAAGTCCTGGACCTCACACTTAAGAGGTGCTCAGGACTTTTTTTTTTTTTTTTTTAGTACGTGTCCCTAGTGGGAATCGAACCTGGGACTCTCTGGTCCGCAGGCCGATGCTCCAACCGCTGAGCCAAATCGACCAGGACAATGTGCTCAGGACTTTTAATTGTTTAGCCCTCCTATCCCTTGCTGTGTGCAGGACTGTTCTAAGCACTTTGTGCATAGTTTATCTCATGATACTCTTGGAAACTGAGATATAGTGTATTAGTTTTCTTTTTGCTGTGTAACAAACAACCGTTGCTATAGACTGAATGTTTGTGCCCCTCCACCCCCCTTTTCATAGCTTCAAACCTAACCCCCATTGTGATGGTAGTAAGAGATGGGGTCTCGCCCAGCCAGGGTGGCTCAGTAGATTGAGTGTCACTCCCATGAGCTGAGGGGTGCCGGTACGATTCCCGGTCAGGGCACATGCCCTGGTTGCAGGCTCAATCAGTCCCCAGTAGGAGGCGTGCAGGAGGCAGCCGATCGATGTTTCTCTCTCACATTGATGTTTCTCTCTCTCTCCTTCCTCTCTCTCTAAAAAATCAATAAAAACATATTTAAAAAATCTTTTTTAAAGAGGTGGGGCCTTTGAGAGGTGATCAGCTCATGAGGGTGGAGCCTCCCTGAATGGGATTAGTGCCCACAGAGAGAGATCTCTTCCGTGTGAAGACATGGCCACCTATGAACCAGGAAGTGGGCCCTCACCGGACACCAAATCCACTGGTGCCTTGCGCTTGGGCCTCCAGCCTCCAGAACTGTGAGTAAAACAATGTCTGTTGTTTGTATACCAGTCTGTGGTATTCTGTTACAGCAGCCCAGTGGACTAAGACGTTCCACCCTCCGAACTCAGTAGCTTAGAAAACAAGCATTGATCCACTCCGTGGTCTCTGGGTTGGCCACGGCTCTGCCGAGTGGCTGCCAGGAGTTGGGCTTTGTCAGGCTCTAGCTGGGTTCACATCTGCCCCTTGTGTCTCCTCTTGTGGCCAGCAGCTATCAGAGTATGTTCTCGTGGAGAATGGCAGAACCATGGAGCACGGGCCAGGCCAGTGCACTACAGCTCCTGACCATGACTCGTGGCCCCAGCCCCGTTCCCTCTGCAACCCAGGGAGATGCTGGGCCCGGGGCTGGGGCTGGGTGCTCACTCTGATTGCCGGCTCCGTCCACAGGCTGGAGGGAGCCCCACATCTCCCTGGGACCTGCACAGAGGCCTCCAGCCCACTCGGCAACCTGCCGTGGCTAATCACTGCTTCGTCCAGGCTTTTAGTGCCCATGGCAACAGAGAGAAGTCCAGGCGGGAAGGCCAGCCTCAGGCCGCATAGGACACTGGGCTTGGCTTTCTCACAGGGCCTCTAGATGTCAGCAGTAACGCTGGTGTTTGCAAAGCTGTGCTTGAGGAGACCCACCAGGCCCACCAGCGCCGCCAACCTGTCGGGTCGTTGTGTTCTATGTGGACTCGACCCTTCACGAAAGGTCGGGGTGCTGTCTAGGTTGGGGTGGGGGCCTCTGTGGGCTGGTCTAGAATGACGATTGATTTTGAATTCACAACATGGCTCTTTGATTTTTATTTTCTGAGACAGTTCCTCCATTTAAATACATCCTGGGGGATGGTTACTAATGTGTGCAGTTTATTTTTCATTTATTTTTAATGCCAAAGCTGCACATACTGATTACAACTAACAATAAAAAAGCTTTGTAAATGGCTCCCCCCGAAGTGGGGGGTGGGTAGGGGGGCAGGGGCTGCAGTAAATGGCAGCTAAAGAGGAAATGGATGGAGGACAACAGCTCTGGCCCCTGACAAAGCCCCTCACCCCTAACCCTGGTGTGTCCCAGAGAAGTTCCCAGTTTCCAGGAGGCCAGCAATGTCCTATCCGAGACTTGGGATTTGTGCTATATGCTTCCAGGAGGGGAGGCTGGGAGGGGACAAGAGTGTGAAAACAGATGGAAATGTAATTTTTTAATGACAGCAGCAGATGGCAAAAAGACACAAGAGTGTGTTCGCACCATGTCGGAGCCACTTGAGAGAGCCCAGCTCAGCCGTGATGTGCGCCATGCAGCTGGCATGATGGTTCCCCTGCCAAACCCTGGAGGCCAGTGAACTGCACGGAGGAACCTGCAGGCCCTCCGGGGGGGGGGGGGGCAGGGAGTGCTGCCAGGCTGTGTGGGGCCACAGGTAGCTGGGGAAATACCTGTGGCCACCTGGGTGGGGTCCGGCAGCAATCAATGGGCTCTGTTTTCAGACAGCCCCTTTTTGTGTCCCCGTGCCCGCTGTCCTGGTTCAGGCCATCGCCGCTGCTCACCTGGACTTCTGCTCACAAACTCCAGGTGAGTCTCCTGCTGCTGGTCCGTGTCCCACCCCCACTCCATCCACCAGAGTTGTATTTCTGCATTGCAAATCTACTCGTGTCACTCAGCCTCCATCCCTCAGGTGGCCTCCCACCTGACAAAGCCCCTCACCCCTAACCCTGGTGTGTCCCAGAGAAGTTCCCAGTTTCCACTTGGGATCATGTCCATGCGCTCAGAAGGGGCTTACAAACCAGGCCCTCGAGAGCTGGCCACTGCATGTGTTTCTTGCTTCACTTCTTGCCACACTCAACAGGGATGAGAATGCCTCGTGGGACTACCATGAGCAAAAGAAACCACTCCTTCCTTGGCCCAGTACCTTGGTTGGTTAGAGCGTAGTCCTGATATGCCAAGGTTGCAGGTTTGATCCCTGGTCAGTGCACATACAAGAATCAACCAATGGCCCTGGCCAGCATGGTTCAGTGTTAGCGCGTCAGCCCACGCATTGAAGGGTTGCAGGTTCAATTCCCGGTCAAGGGCACATTACTGGGTTGCAGGTTCGATTCCTGGACCCAGTTGTGGTGTGTACGGGAGGCAACCAGTTGATGTGTCTCACATCAATGTTTCTCTCTCTCTCCCCTCTCCCCCATCCCTTCCACTCTCTAAAATTCAGTGGAAAAAATATCCTCCAGTGAGGATTAACAACGAGAATCAACCAGTGAATGCTTAAATAACTGGAACAACAAATTGATGTTTTCCTCTCTCTCCCTTCCTTTCTCTAAAAATCAATAAATAAAAATTCAAAGAAAGAAAGAAACCACTCCTGTTCAGAGCAGAAGCCACTATCTGCCATGTTGGACACAGCTGAGAACCTCACAGGCTCAAGGAGATGATGACATTCAGAATAAGTAGAGCGGAGGCAGCCAGCCGGGTGGCCCAAACCAATCAGAGCCACCAAGGTCAGTCCTGCAGGAGGTCATATTATCACCTCCACATTAGAGACTAGATGCAGGCAGGGGCTCAAGTCACAGTGTGAGCTGTGGCTCTTAGCCTCCTGGAGCTCCGTGGGGGGTCTAGTTAGGGAAGCAATTGCATCCTATTATCGCAGAGCTGCTCTGAACCACACCTGCTGGCGTGTTGCAGCTGAGGCGAGGCAAGGACGTCACCCCACCCCGAGGAGGTGTTTTGCATTCTGCATTTCTCTTATGCTGCCATCACTGTAGTTTGAACCCCTTTCTTAGATGGGTGACGCCACTAGCTGGAAGTCAGTGCTTTCCCTGAGTCCTCCCGGAGACCACAGGGGAGAGGCTTTTTATCAGAGCAGCGGCTCTGAGCGTCGGCCCAGGCCTGAGCCCCACACCAGAGGTTCCAGCTCCTTGGGTCCAGGTGAGGCCCCAGCGTCGGGTAGATGACACAGGTGGGGTATACACATGCAGCTTCTCACCCACCTCCTCAATTCTTCATCGATTCATCGCTTTCCTAAGCCACTGGTCTCACTACAAGAACATCACTTCCACATAGCAGAGGTTCTAACTAATCTAAGAGTGAATGAACTCACTATGCACATAGACCACAGGTTTTTCCCAAACATGCTCAACCCAAGATCGCAGGTGGGGATGCATCGGTGGGCTGCTGGCCCAATGTCAGACACAGACGTAAATGACCCTTCAGAGCATCCTGGGTCCCCAGTCAGTCACTCATAATGCAAATGCTTAATTTCTACCTGTGCCCATTGTACTGGCCAGAAACGTGTGGGGCATTTTCATCACTAGAGAAAGATCCATTGCCTTGGAGTCAGAAGCCCACGTTGCTGGCTCATTTTGGAGCACCGTTCTGCTGGCCTAGATTCTGTGTGACCAAAGCTATTGTACTGCCAACTACCCTGAAGGGGGCAATAGGTTCACAGCTTCGGGGGTGTTCTTAGGTTTCCGGTAGGGAGCCTGGGGAGGCTTTTTAAAATAAACTTTTTCTTGGTAAGGATAGCTCTAGAGTCACAAAAAAGTTACAAAAATAGTACAGATGGTTCTCATATACTGCCCACCCAGGTTCCCCTGGCACATTTGTCACAATTAGGGAACCCATTTTGATACATTATTATTAACTAAAGTCCATTCTTTATTCACATTTCCTCAGTTTTCCTCTAATGTCCTTTTTTTGTTCTGGGATCCCATCCAGGATCCCACATGACATAGAGTCACCATGAATTCTTAGGCTCCTCTGGGCCGTGACAGTTTTCTAGACTCTCCTTGTTTTTGATGACCTCGACAGGTTTTTCATTTTTGGTGTTTTTTTTTCAGAGAGATCAATTTGTTGTTACACTTATTCATGGATCCACTGGTTGACTTTTGTGTGTGCTCTGGCCCTGATCCCGCATCAAACCTGCAACCTTGGTGTATCAGGACGGTGCTCAACCAACTGAGCTACTCGGTCAGGGTGACCTTGACAATTTTGAGAAGTGCTGGTCAGGTGTTTTGTAGAAAGTCTCTCTACTGGGATTTGTCTGATATTTTTCTTGTGATTAGACCAGGGCTGTAGGGTTGGGAAATAAAGTGCCCCCCATCCATGACATCGGGAGGGGTGCGTGCTATCACCATGGCTTATCACTGCTGATGTTGAGCTTGGTTACCTGGCTGAGGTGTTGGTCAGGTTTCTCCACTGTCAAGTTCCTCTGTTTTCCCTGTTTCCATCCTGTTCTCTGGACCGCAGGCCGACGCTCTTACCGCTGAGCCAAACCGGCCAGAGCACCATCCTGTTCTCTTTGGAAGGAAGTCGCTCTGGGCAGTCCACACTTCAGGAGTGGGGTGTTGTTGAAGGTGGGCATCTATATACATCATTTGGAATTCTTTGGCATGAAGGGTTTGTCCCTTCACGCCATGAATTTTATCATCAACTCTTAATTCATTACCACATGGGGCATTCTAGCCTTCTAGGGGAGGCATTTCTTATAACAGGAAATAATGGTATGAGGGCCTGCCCACCCCATCTCAGGTAGCAGCCCCACTTACATCACTCCCCTCCTCCCCCTCTCCAGTTTTTCTCTTGTCTGTTTACGTCTCATTCCCCCTGCTTTAAGAGGCCAGGCGCGAGGCGGGGTATTTAGAGCCTCTCTGGATCCTGGGCATGGCTCAGGGCTGGGCTAGGTTGGGGCAATCATTCTCTCCATTTTCCCCACCATAAAAACCTCCTGGGGAGCATGTTAAGTGTGTGGTTTCTGAGTCAGAAAGTCTGAGCCTGGAGCGCAGGGAAGGGCATTTTAAAGAACAGCTTTATTGAGGAATAATTCACTCTTTTAAGTGTACAAGTCAGTGGTTTTTAGTATATTTACAGAGTGTGCAACCATCACCACTAATTCCAGAACATTTCCACCACCCAAAAAAAGAAACCCCATACCCATTAACAGTCACACCCACTTCTCTCTCCCCTTGCCCTGGCAACCACTAACCTCCTTTCTGTCTCTGCAGACTTACCTATTCAGGATGGTTCATATAAATGGAATCATACATGGTTTTGGTGACTGGCTTCTTTCACTTGGCGTGTTTTCAAGGTTCACTCACATTGTAACAGGTATCAGTGCTTCATTCCTGTTTATAGCCAAATAACATTCCATAGTACATATAGATCATAATTTGTTTATCCATCCCTCCGTTGATGGACGTTTGGGTCATTTCCACCTTTTGGCTGTTGTGAATCGTGCTGCTATGAAGGGAAAGTCATCTAACAAGTCCTCCAAGTGATCCTGATGTACACTCGAGTTGGAGACTCTCAGACACCACCATTTTGCAGTGTGTGATGCTGCACACTATCTCCTGTTCTCCCAACATTCCAGTGAGGTCAGCAGCAGCACTGTCCCCATTTTACAGATAAGGACACCAGGACTCCGGTGATGTGGACACTGGACTCTGCTCGCCCTCCTACTCACCCTGCTGTGGCCTCTCCGAACCTCGGTTTTCCCCCCCAGTTCTTTTCCTTTGCTCTTTTACAGGCTGCAAAAAGCCGGGAGGGAAGCCTCGCCAACTTTGGAACACAAATATTTGCCAGTGAGGAAAACATTCTCCCATCAATCAAAACCCAGACAAGTTGGCATACACTCTCTGCAGATGTCTGAGGGAGTTTCTATTTTCAGGAGGGGCCAGGTGGCCCAAAGCTTCCCCTCCTCCTTACACACCCCAGGCTCCTTCTCTTCCTCTCTTTTGCAGATGAGGAAACTGAGGTTCAGAGTGATCACTTGCCCTGGGTCACACAGTATCCAGAGGGACTTTCATTTATTTTCTTTGGAAGTATTTGTATTAATACATGACACACAATGAAGGTAATCTCCAGGTTCTGCAAATGACAATTTCCAATGCAGATAAACAACAGACACAGCTTTCCATGCCATGTGAGTGAGCAGAACTAAATTACAGTCTTAATCTTCCCAACAACCCTAAAAAGGGGCAGCTTCAGGGGGCTTAGAGGGCAAAGCATGGGGTTATCTGGAGTGGGGTAGCTTTCCCGCCAAGATACAGAACTGGAATCTTCCTGTCCCCTATGTTTTTTCCTGGGGCTTAAGGAACAGGATTTCAAATTCAAGTCCAGCCCACTGCCTGTCCTCACCAGTACTGCACTGGCTGCCTTACCTCCCTGGAAGCTTTCCTGGCCTATTAGAATCCCATCAGAATCCCCCTGGCTCTGGTTAAAATCCAGCTTTCTGTTCCCATCCCAGACGCCCGTAACACAATTCCCCAGGAATGTGCACATGAACTCAGAATCTTCTAGGAGTTCTTGACAGCGGGGAGATTGAGGGCCACTGCTTTCAGGCTTCACACAAGCCCACTGTAGAGGGTGCCTGTTCGACGAACGGATGAGCACTTCGGTACTTACTTGCTGCAGTCTGCAAACTTGCACCTTCATAAGCCTCACCTGGGGTGCTTGCCAACGAACAGATTCCGAGCGCCCCCCCCCCCGCAGTTTCCGAATTGGAAGATGTGGGTGGGGTAGAGGAATCTACCTCTTTATAGATTTTTGACCCACGTGTATGCAGAGAGCAGAAGATTGTGAAATGAAAGGAAGCGACGCCTTCCCCACTCTCATGGGGTCGGTCGGGCTGTTTCAGGTAATGCTGTGGCCCAATAAATGCATTTACTCCTGACCCCAGGAGTAAGGGGGGGGGTTGATTCAAGGTGTCGACGAGTGGGCGCCCAGGGCAGGTGCAGGGACACGGAAGCGCAATGCCAGATGCAGGAAGGCAGGCATCACCAGGTAGGAGTGGGCTCCTGCTTGTGCACGAGGGGGCGGGGCCGGAGCCGGGACAAGAAGGGGGCGGGGCCGGAGCCGGGACAGGAGGGGCGGGGTGAGCGCTTAGCCTCCTGTAAGCTCACCAATCCGCGGGCTCGTAGCAGCCGCGCGCCCCGCCTCCCGCCGCCCGCAGAGAGCGCCGCGTTTCTATAGGCCAGCCAAGGGTTCTTCCGGCCCGGGGGCGGGCTCCGCGCGGTGGCGGGAAAGCGGCGGCCGCAGCACCTCCTCCGGGACGCTGAGGGGCCGCTCGCTTCCGCCCCCATGGACGCGGCCGAAGTGGAGTTTCTGGCCGAGAAGGAGCTGGTGACCATTATCCCGAACTTCAGTCTGGACAAGATCTACCTCATCGGGGTAAAGGCGCTGGCCGGGCGTTTGCCCGAGGCTCCGGCCAGTGGGACTGGCGTCTGGGAGAGGCCAGGCCGCTGGGGCTTCTGCGGACGCCGGCTCGCCCCGCTCTGCTCCCACCGCCCGGATGGGCAGCCAGGCGGCGGACTCGGCGTGCTCCGCTCGCGGGGGCCTGCCCGGACCCCGGTGGGTGAGGTTCGGAGCCGGGAGACGTGGGCGGGCGCAGCTCGCGGGGATACCCGCGCCTCCCGGGTGTTCCCGCGCTTCGGGGAGCCCGGCGCAGGTGTGCTGCCCGGTGAGGCCACCCCGCCGCGCGAGGGCACACGCGGGCCGCCTCCCGCGCCTCCGCGCCCGCCGGGGCTTGCCTCCGCTCCGCCCTGCCGTTCGCCCGGTGCGCGTTCTGTTCCCGGGCAGCGGCGGGCGCCCCTGTCGTGACTCACCGGGCTTGTTCTCCTCCCGCAGGGGGACCTGGGGCCCTTTAACCCTGGCCTGCCGGCGCAAGTGCCTCTGTGGCTGGCGATCAACCTGAAGCAGAGACAGAAGTGTCGGTTGCTCCCGCCGGAGTGGATGGATGTGGGTAAGGATCCGGCGAAGGGGCCGGGGTCTGCCACCCACCCCAGGATCCACCGAAGGGAGTGGTCCCAGAGGCACCCCCGAGAGTCAGCGGACCGCTCTGAGCAGTGTCCCGTCCGTGTGGGGGGTGTGCGTCGCTTTTAGTTCAGTTTGTTTTGAAAGCTCTTTCAGCCAGCTTTGAAATCAAAAGCGTTGGAAGACCTTAAAGAAGAGCCTGGCCGGTGTGGCCTAATGGTTGAGCATCGACCCATGCACCCAGAGGTCATCGGGTTCGGTTCCCCTGCCCAGGTTGTGGGCCCACTATCCAGTGGGGTGCATGCAGGAGGCAGCCAATTGATGCGCTCTCATCAATGTTTCCCCCCCCCTCTCTCTCTCTCTCTCTCTCTCTCTCTCTCAATCAACAAAAGTAAAAAAAAAAGACCTTAAAAAAGCATTTGTTTTAATTTTAAAATATAAGTATGTAGACTAACATATTGAGGAACAGTCATTACATGATAGAGAATGCATGAAAATAACGCATCATCCATACAAGGGAATACTATTCGGCCATGTAAAGGAATGCTGTAGTGTGGATGAACCTTGAAAACCTTGTGCTAACTGAAAAACAAACAAACATGCAAACACCGTATTTGTATCAATTCATTTATATGAACTGTTCAGAACAGGCAAACCCACAAAGTAAATTAGTACTTGTCTAGGGATGGGGGTTTGGGGGTGATGGAGGGATTGTGGGGGGTCCTTTTTTGGGGTAATGAAAATGTTGCCCAACTCTGAATATACTAAAACCCATTAAATTGTATACTTTAAATGGGTAAATTGTATGGCATGTTAATTATGCCTAAATAAAGCTGTTAGAAGAAGCAAAACAAAACAAAAAATGCATCAAAGATGCACAGACTTGACGCTGATTTTATTCTTTGCAGTCTCTCCCCCATCTTGGAGATGTGAATGCCTCATTATAGCAGAGAATCTTTTTTTTGTATCCTCACCGGAGGACGCTTTTGCATTTATCTTCAGATAGAGCAGAAGGGAGAGAGGGAGAAAGAGAGAGAGAGAGAGAGAAACATCAATGTGAGAGAGACACATCGACTGGTTGCCACCCACACAGCCCCAACCGCGGCTGGGGACAAACTGCAACCAAGGTACGTGCCTTTAGCGGAAACTGAACCCGGGTCTTTGGTCCACAGGCCGATGCTCCAACTGCTGAGCCAAACCAGCCAGGGCAAAGAATCTTAATTTTATTGGTGGTGGTAATAGGTATGCATGTAGAATTGAAAAGCCCTGAGTGAGTTTGATTGCCCCCGTCCGCATTGGGAACCACTGGGGATCCTGCCTCCTAGAAGAAAGGACACTTCCAGCCAGGCACTCTCAAATGTAGTTTAAGAAAGACTGCTTAGGCGTTTCCTCCTTGCTCCCTGTCCTAACGGGGTGAGTGGCTCTGGTGGTCCTGAAACAGTGAGAAACTCCAACTCCTTCTGCTTTGAAAGGCTGTTTTAGTCCCACCAGACCTGGCTCTGTTAGGGCTGCATCCCCACAAGGCTCCTCATTTAAGATCAGCTCTGTTCGTTTTGGCCCATCTAAACCCCAGCCCGAGTTTCTTCGTAGTCCTGGGCCACACTGGTGAGAAGTAGTGAAACATCCCTCATCAGTCAGTAGACATTGCCCAAGAACCACCTGCTCTTGGACTTCATGTAAATGGTATCATCTAGTATGTCGGGTGGTCTCTGAGTTCTTATTCAGTGTGTTTGAGATTCACCGCTGCTGTCGCATGTGTCATTACGTTCTTTTATTGCTGAGTGGTGTTCCAGTGTATGAGTATGCCACAATTTGTTCACCCATTTTTATGTTGGTGGGTAGTTGGGTTATTTCTCATTTTTGGCTATTGTGAATATGGCTGCTATGAACAGTCTTGTCCAAGTCTTTTTGTGGATATGTTTTTATTTCTCTTGGGTAAATAAATGCCTGGAGGGGTGGGATTGCAGGGTCATATGGCAGACTGTGCTTAACTTTGTAAGAAACTGCCGACCAGTTCTCCACAGCCACTATTATGATCCTACCAGAGTTGTTCAAGGGTTTCCAATGTTCCATATCCTGGCCAACATTGGATGTTGTCAATCTTTCTCATTTGTTGCAGGGTTTGAACAGGTGTTTTCATACTCTGATGTAGATTTTAAAAAAGAATGAGTATGCTGTGCAGAGAAGATGTGTGTGGGGAGAGAGCAGTAGACAGTTACCCTGGCAAGAGCTGAGAGTAGCTGCAGCAGCTGATTGGGGTGGGCAGTGGTGGCTGGAGATTAGGCATAGTTTGAAGGAAGAGCCAGCAGGATTTGCTGAAGGACTGGCCGAGGGGTATGAGAGAAAAGTTAAAGACTAGCACCAGAGTTGTTGGCTTGAGCTCCAGAAGGAGATAGAGCTGCTGTTTTCTTAGATGGGGGAGATTGCTGGAGCAGTGTGAACACCAGGGTGGGTGTTCGAATATCTTACACTGGAGGTGCCTGATAGAAATCCACGTGGAGGTAACATGGGCATGGGGTATCTGAGCCAGGGATTCAGGGGAGGGACTGATCTGGGGATGAGCACGTAGATAGTATTTGAATGACGCGGGAAGAGATCTTGTGGGATGTGGGTTGAGGTGGTGGAGAAGGTCAGGGAACTGAGCCCTGCACCACAGTGTTGAGAGGTCAGGAAGGCCAGGAGGAATTTGTGAGATGAGAACTCTGGTGTTCTAGAAGCTAAACGATAAATAGATCCCAAGGAAGAGGATTGACCCTCGTCAGATGAGGAGACTGAGATGTATGTAGCCATCGGGTTTGGCCTAGTGGAGGATGTGGGCCTGGGTGAACTGTGTTGGTGAAGGGGTGGGATAGATACCCATCTGAGTGGTGGAGGAGGGGTTGTGAATGCCAATGTCAGACAGCTCTTGAAGTTTTGGTGTAAAGGGCATGAGAAATGGATTGGTAGCTGGAGAAGGATTTGATGTCAGGGGAGGATTTTCTTTTTAAGATGGAAGATGTAGTGTGTTTGATGGAATGGTCACATAGTGAAGGGAAACAATGACCATTCAAAGGTGAGAGTCATGTTCTATGCTGGGGTAGTGTTCTGTGCAGGTGAGAGGAGGGTCCAGTGCATACCCGGAAGGCTGGCCCTTGCGTATGGGGACGACGCAGGGAGGTTAGGAAGATGTGGCAGGAGCACGCAGGCACTCAGCAAGGCAGCGGCTGAGAGCTCGGGCAGTGAGATGAGAGAAGGCGGGACGAGGGTGAGCATGATCGACAGTGAGGGTGAGTGGATCGGGAAGTTTCACAGGATTGCAGGGTACGGGCCCTGGAGATGGGTGGTCAGGACTTTAAGGTGAGACTCCACAGCACAGTTGTGTCTGTGTGTCCCTTAGCCACAGTGGGCAGTCCAGATTTAGGACCGGAGGTTTTCTCAGGCCGTTAAGTCAGGGGGAGAGGGGTCAGGCAGCTGTAGCATGTGGAGAGGAGTGCGACTTCTGGATAGAATTGGCCTCAGCTGTTTGATTCCAGATGCTCGGCTTTCTTTCAGCCCCCGTTATTATCTCACCCCAGTATGGAGTGGCTCTAGCTGTAAGTTGACTTGCTCTTCTGAACGAGGTTTAGTAACCACTGGTTACTTTTGTCACTTCTTGCATCAAAGGTAAAATACTTTGTTTTTTCACTAAGAAGAACTGACTGACATTCTTTTTATTGATATATTGTGCAGGCCACAGCAACAATAATAATAATTTACACCTTTTTGAAGCGAGTTTTTGAGGAACTAGGCCCTGAATCATCTAGTTAGTGATATAAATGATATTCCAAAACCTGTTTATTAATGTATTTGTTAGTTGATTGAATAGGTAATAGAGGCAGTTGGTAAATTTGGAAGGTTTAAAAAACTATTTTGGTTATGGTAATGGTAAAATGTGTTTCTACATTTCAGAAAAGTTGGAGAAGATTAGGGATCACGAACGGATGGAAGAAACTTTCACCCCTATGCCTAGCCCCTACTACATGGAACTGACCAAACTCCTGTTAAATCAGTAAGTTGTCTCCCTTCTTAGAGCCTGCATGTAAGATTGAACTCACGGTTTTCATCCCTTAATCCCTGCCTTTCCTTTCTTGTTCCTTGCTCATTACCAAGGTAAGTGGTATCCCTGGCTCCCTGGTTCCTCAGATCAGTGGTCTGGGAGTCCTCTGTGTGCACGCACACTGCCTGGAGTCTCTCCCTCTCTCCTTTTTCCTCGCCACCCCTCCCTCTCCCAGTAAACCCCTTGGTTCTCTTCATTCTGCCTCCTAATTAGCTCTCGACATTTGAACCCAGTATGATCCTCCATCATCATTTCCAGCAGTAGCCTTTTTCTTAACTATAAATATGTTTTATTAATAAAGCTTTACCCCTTTTTATCCTCTAGTTATGTGTATTTGAGTTCTTGCATGTCTGTCACATGAAAGGCCGGAGGACTCACATTTGCCTCTGACCCTGAGCTATAAGAAATGCCCACTGGTGGCAGAAATGTGCTGTAGTAAATTGTTTCCCTACATCCAGTTATGGCTCCCCATCAGCTTCTAACTCACTCTCCACGTTGCAGACACAGTGGTCCTTTAAAGATAAAGCTGTCATGTGATTCCCCTTCTCCTCGGAGCCTTTCCAGGGTTTAGTCTCAAGTCCTGGTCATGGTATTCCAAGCACTGCATAGGCTGGTTTCCTCCTCTCTTACAACTCATACAGTCTTCCCTCTGAGTCTTTAAGTTTCTGGGTCATGTTGGCTTCTTTTACTTCTTTATACATACCAAGATCTTTAGGGCTTTGCATATACTGTACCCTGTGCCAGGAAGTTCACCTATTCCCTGCTTCCTCCTTTGGTTTAACCTGACAGGTACTCCCTCCCTGTCTTACCTGTCATCTTGACATCTCTGTACACCTCCATGGCATTTGTCAGTTCAAATTTTCTAATCGCTTGTCTGGCTATGCTCGTCCCCCCACCCCCAGTTCTAATGGGCAGCGACTGTGTCTTGTGTGTACTAGCACAGGGTCTGGTGTTCACATGTGTGCGTGAGTGAGTGAATGAATGAAAGAAATCAGTGGAGGGGGCAGGAAAGTGTGGATACATTTGCTAGGGACATAGTTGAATGTAATTTGCAAAGTGTCAAGCTTTTGACACCTTTTAATTGATATATTCAAGAGCAGAACTATAACAAAACTTGGGGAGCTCTCTTCACCTGCTGTAGAGCAAGGGCCAGGGGCCCACTAAATGGCATTTCTGGATGCAAATGAAAATTCGAGGCACGTAACACAGACTCGTCCTTCAGATGGTATGAGGCTGCAGTTAACAGCTTACCAAATGTTCCACCAGATAGTGATAATAGGCTTGAGTTCCTGGTTTAGTGGGGGACAGATGTGACCCTGTTACCCAGTGGTCACAGTGCAGTGATAAATGCTGCTCCAAGTATGTTGGGACGCAACCCTAATGCCTAGTGGTGCCAGAGAAGAGATCTTAGGCTGGAAAGATGTGGGGGAATTTACTGGGGAGAAGGCAGAGGTGAAAGGACATGGTGCGTTTGGGAAGCAGAGCTGTTGGGGCACATGTAGACTGTATGGGGTGGGGGAACTGAGGCTTTTCTCCTGTCAGTGGAAGGCCCCAGGGGGGCGGTGTTCAGGAAGGAGGGTGCCACCTGTAGATCTGAGAAAGCCTGCTGTGGCAGTGGAGAGAGTGACCTGGAGCGGAAAACCTGGAAGCAGAGGTGAGGAGCCTGTCTTTCATTTTTGAAGTTCATATTACGTATGCAGTTCCTATTGAAAGTCTTGTCTAGAATTTCTTTAGAATTCATTTGGCGAAGGGCACTAATTGTACCTTTGTTCTGCTGTGCAGTTAACAAGGAGCTGGGGGTTCTTTGTTCTTTAACCTGCTGTTCAGAGCAAAGGATCCAGATGTTTGGGCTTTAGGTAAAATCCACTACATAAATTTTATACTGATTCTCCATCTACTAATTACGAGCTAATTTTAGCATGTGAAGAGATCATTTCCAGCTTATCCTAGACTGCTTGGTGATGAATGATGTCGGCTTCTGCTTTTATCTTCTACTGTGTCTTTTCCTTCAAAGATTAGTTTTTAAAAATCTCACACAGTAAGACTGTGATCACCTGTCACTGACTCTAGTTCAGACTTTTACCCAGAATTCACTACACATAAGTGTGCTCAGATTGTGGTAACTTGCACTTTCTTCTGTGATTTTTGTAAATATTGATTTTCTGATATGTGATTTTCAGAAAATGTGATTTTCTGATATTTTTGTTTTCTCTGTAGAGTAGGGCAGTATCTACCCTTCAGGGCTTTTGTGAGGATAGAAATGCTGTGTAGTGCTGGGCACAAGGCCTGGCACAGAGCTGCTGTCTTCTTTCCCTGGTGGATTATAAGCCCTTTGATAGCCGATGGGGTATGAGCAATAGAAGTCATGACCTTGGAGCCAGCCTTGAAACGAGCTCATTCTAGATGGAAATTCTATAGCACAGACCACTCAATTATCCTGAGACACAGGATGTCCAACGTGGAGCTTACTCTCCAATACTTAATTATTTCAGAAGTCCTTATGTCGCTGCCTGCCAGAGGACAGGTAACATAAGCATAAATGTCTGTGTGGATCATGGCTGCATTTTCTTGGCACAAAGTTTAACTACTAGAAATTCTTACATTTTAAAATTGAAAACAAAGCAAAACAAATTTTGAGTCCAGAACAGCTTGTATATTTCACCTGAATCCAAGCAACCCTTTCTTTTTTTTAAATCCTCACCTGAGGATATTTTTCCAATGCTTTTAGATGGAGTGGAAGAAGGGAGAGAGGGAGAAAGAGAGCAGCACATCGATTGGTTGCCTCCCACACGACCCCCACCAGGGCCAGGAATCAAATCTGCAGCCCAGGTGCGTGCCCTTGACTGGGAATTGAACCCTTTGGTTTGCAGTCTGACACACTAACTGCTGAGCCAAACCGAACAGGGCTAAGCAATCTTTTTTTTTTTTTTTTTACAAAAGCCACTTCTAACTGAACTGGCTATTGCTTTTGTTTACTGAGTGCTTCCTTATGCGGTTTATTTCACCTTTGCTTCCTTTAGTGCTTCAGACAACATCCCAAAAGCAGATGAGATCCGCACTCTGATCAAGGATGTGTGGGACACTCGCATAGCCAAGCTCCGGGTATCTGCTGACAGCTTCGTGAGGCAGCAGGAGGCACACGCCAAGGTAGGTGCACCGCTGGCCTCTGCTCTGGTGGCTGCCTCCCCCAGGGTCCGGGGATGCCCCATGCTGCTGAGGGATTCCTACAGCATTCCACCTGCTTAGGCTGTCACAAGCAGGAATTACTGGTTATGCTTTTAAAAATTATTGGTTTCTTATTTTTGTTCAGATTTTACCTTTTTCTCTAAATCAGAAACTCCTTGACCAACCCCGTCTGTTTTCTTGTTTTAGCTGGATAATTTGACCTTGATGGAGATCAACACCAGTGGGGCATTCCTCACACAAGCTCTTAATCAAATGTACAAACTCCGCACAAACCTGCAACCTTCTGCAAGTGCCCAGTCTCAGGACTTCTAGAGAATGACCTTTGTAAAGGCCTTGCTGTCTGCCGGCAGGAGGCTCGCCAGGTGGTGTGCGAGTACTCGGGACATGAGAGATACCCGCAGTTCTGGATTTCTAGAACCATTCGAGTCTGGGAACAATATGTACTGAAGCAAGGAACGGATTTGTAACATTGTCGGAAAGCAACAGGTTGCACTTCGTTTTCTCAAGGTATTTTTTAATTCCACACCTGTCTCTGGAAGCCAACTGTTCCTTTGTGGAGGAAAGAAAAAGCTTTGGCAAACAAGCTCTTCTCCCTAGCAGTCACAGGTCTCCTGCATGGAACTGTTGTGTGTGGGTGAGTGTTCAGTGACGTTACACGTTGCTTTGAAAAGACACACATACAAGTGGCGATATGGCCCCTAGGGCTTTTTAATTTTGATACGGATCTCTTGGGCTAAACTTAGAATCTAGAGATTGCTCACACAGAGAAGGATGGCAGATATGGCTTGTGGTGCTGACCAGTGTTGGTCATCTAAACCCTGATACGTAATAAAGATGGAATCAACCCAATCTTTGGGTTTATTTTTTCCTGCTTAACTACCAAGCAGAAGGAGTAAGCCATGTGGCTAAAATGGTCTGATTGACCAAACCGAGGTGTGTAGCAGGCTGTAGACTTCAAACACTCTGGTTGTCTCTTGTTTTCTTTGCTACTTCTGGTTAAGATTTGAAGGGTTGTTTTTGCTTATCAAGGGGAAAGTCAGGGAAAAACTAATTCCATGTTATTGAGTGTGTACATGAAGCTGAAGAATGCTAGGAAAAGTTGAACCAATAACACTGATCTTGGATTTCAGCAAAAGACTGTCATAGGTAGCAGTGGCTCAGATAAGGGTCAATTCTTTCTCTAAGAGAAAAGTATTTTAATTGCAGCATTTTGGGATTGCTGAATTCCTTATAGAAATTATCTTGCCTCAAAAGGGGACAAGATTGTTTAGAGCAGTGATTATCAACTTTTGTCATCTCGTGGCACACGTAATCTACTAAAATTCTACGGCACACCAAATACTCTTTTGCCAATCTGACCAAAAAAAACGTATAATTCTGATTCATTCACACTGTACAGTTATTGTTGTGTTGGCTGTTGTCATTTTTATTTGACAATCTAAGGGAAAAGAGGTCAGTGTCCCTGACTAAGTAGTCAGGTACTGCATGTTTAAAAAAATTCTTGTGGTGCACCTGTTGAAAATTGCTGGTCTAGAGTCACACAGGAAGTGGTAGTTTCTGTAATCAGCTGGGTTCATGACTAGTGTCGCTGGTTAAAAGCAGTAGCGTGCTATCTCGAGGGTTTTTAGAAGAGGGTATGTGCATGATCAACTGAGCCTGGAGACGATCTGCTGGTATCTATCTGCTCGTATGTGTTTCACGTCCAAAGTTACTTCAAGTTACCTGAACACTGTTTCTCCATTGCAAATTGCTGCCCGTCTAGCTGTCCCTCCAACAAGCAGCTGATGGTTATTTGAACACTCAAGGGCCAGACACAGAGGTACTTGTCTCTATCAGTTAAGGTGACTGGTTGGTTGCTTTCCTATGACAGGACTTGTCTTTTCTTCTCACTCTTATTCAGACCTTCACATTTAATCTGGGGAATATTCTAGAATGAAACCACATTATTGTGGAGGGTCCAGAGTCCTGTGTATCTCAGATCTGCCCCTTAATACTTCTCTCTTAAAACCTGACTGGGGTACAGTTGAAGCCATCTTCATGTTTTACCAATAAAGCTATATAGTTGTTGAGGTTTTTTTGGGGGGGGGGGGGCTTGTTTTATTATAGCATAAAAAAGATTTTCCTCTTAACGTGATTTAGGAAGATTTTATTTTTTTGGATGTTGTCAGAAATTACAGCAATATATCATAAATACCTAATTACTACATTCAACAAATAATATTACAATACAATTAATCCAAACAAGTACACTTAGAACAGGTTTAATTTCACAGCATCTAAACTGCCCCCAGAGTGACCGAGGCACTGTTCCTCCTCCCTCCCATGTACTGGTTTACTGTTCTAGCAATTAAGCACAGGGTACATACAAAGTAACACAACCAATTAGCATGGTCTTCCTCAGGTCAAGGCAGAGTTAAGGAGTTTAAGTTAAGTGCTGGATCAAAAGTTGGGGACAGGCTACTGCAAGTAGTAAAGTCAATAGCTTGGTTACTTGAAAGAGTATAGGGATTGCTGCTAAGTGGCTAATATACACTTAAGAGTAACAGAATCGGCTTGTGCTGACCATCTCCATCTTGTGGTGGATCCTTGGAATTTTCTACACTTTAAAAACACACGGTTCAGAGGGAAAGGGAGTATCTCGATTTAATTTTTGAGATTTGGCAGCATTTAGGAAATACCATCCCATGTATAAACTTAAGATTTCCTGTGTTATAAGTCTTCACTGCTGAAGTATGGGCTCCTTTGAATATTCTTTGAATTTCCATAAGGTATAATGTATTAGAACGTTCTGCCAATTTAGTGTTTTATTTCCTTTACAATATATAAAGACTAAACTGTTGAAAATCCTACCTTGGTCATTTATCTTAGACAACAGATTAATATGAAATTTTTTCATGCCAGTCTGCCTCTGATTATATGAAACAAAACCAACTCGTTTTCAAACGATCAGTTGTGCGGTACCGAGTTTTGGGGAAAGCTCTGGCTTGCTTCTAACTATCTGATTAAATGTGGAGCCACGGGGTTCAGCTTTGGAAGGTGTCCCTCACGAGTTTAGTGAAATCCCCTTCAGAGGACAGATGGCAGCTGTCTCCTGGTGCTGTAGGAAGCACATGAGGTCGTGAAGGACTGAGCGCTTCACGAAAATACTGACAACACAGAGGTTGCAAAATCAATTCTAGAGTAAATCTGGTGTACTTCTGAACTCTCTTTTAAACGCAACTTCAAACAGCTGAACAGAAAGCTTCAGAGAGTGCATATTTGTCAATTTTTAAGCCCAAACAGAAAAGAAAATGAGATGAGATGGATGGAAAAACCATTCTTGGGTACTATGTCTTAGTGGTGCACTTGTTTTCAAAAGACACTTTAACTTTTTCTTGGTTTATTATGCTGCCTTTTCTGGTTTATGTTTATATTCTCTGATTGTCATTACTTCTTGAGTCCAAGAATATTCAGAGATCTCCGGAGATGGGTGGGAGCTTGGTGAGGCAGAGTGACAGAAGCTCAAGTGCTGGGTAAACGTGATGTTTTCGGTGGAGAGGAGGAAGGGCAGTTATTACTAGCTCAGTTGAAACATCTTCCACCCCTGGCAAGAGACCTCCCCTGGAACGGCCCAGTCCCGCATCCCGTATGCCATGACATCCTCCCCTAACAACTCAGCAAGCCCAACCAAGGGAGTTCCCCTTGGCTAGTGGAGGCATGGGGCTGTGCTTTTCTTTCCCATCAAGTTATTAGATCTACATTTTTTTTTTTTACTTTAGCCAAGGCCATTACCAAAGCTGATCAGCAAAAGGACTCAGACATTTTCTGTGATGGAGGAGGACTGGGCGTGAAGTGCTAAGGTGTAGCTCCTCTTAAGCTTTCAGACCAGAAACAGCAAGCAGGTTTTACATAGAGAAATTCTGTGATATTTTGCCCTGATTTGTTGGCAATAGAGCTCTCTCTAAACACCTGTCCCCACCTGTGGAACATGTTGATCTCTCAATGTCTTTGCAGGGGAGGCCCACAGAACAGCCCTTAGTTCTCGTCAAATCATTTCTGTGGAGAGGAAGGCGCTTGTTGACTGCTGATAATACTGGCGGCACTTTTTGTCTGAGTTTGCTAATAACTAGAAGATTCTTGGCAGACATACAAAGCAAACTGTGTGGGAACAGATAAAGCGACACAATGCCATCTGCCAGCAAGCTGTTCTGCACAGCTAAGGTCTGGGGCTGAGGGTGCGGCCACTGATCACAGTGAGTAGCCTTCATGAAGGTCAGCCAGCCCTTCCCCTGGGTGAAGGGGAGGCGTGATCACGCTCAGGACTCCTCCCTTTCCCCTTTCCCCTGGCAGACCAACCACTGGCTGCTTTGGCCTCTGGTTCAAGCCCATTCAGGCAAGAGATACTTGATCTAGATTAAACCCTGCCTGAATGAGCAGTAACTGGGACAAGAAGGAAAAATTTCCCCATTGCTTTGCATTGATCTGATTATCCCAGTTTCTAGCTGCTCCTGTGCTTGTCACAGTCAGTTCAAAAGGAGAAGTTCAGCTCAGACATTGTTTATCCTACTTCCAGGCTCTTACAAAGCTTTGCATCTAAAATAAAAGCCTCTAAAAGTTTCTACTTTGCACCTGTTCTCAGACTGCTGTAAGACACCTTAGAATTCTATCACAGAAACTGCTCACTTCTTGAAAAGTTTCTTTTACAAACACCCCATGTCTGCATGTGCACGCACAGGTGCACACCCAGGATCTATCTTGTTCACCATAGACTAGCCCCTCCTCACTGACAGCAACTATGCATCACTGCTATTTGCTGTCCAGAGCTGGGGGGACGGGGTGGAGGAGGAGGTAAGAAGTAACGCATGGCTTTCTACATCATTTTCTGGTGCAACTCAAAAATGAAGTGATCGCATAGGCGCCAGTGGTAAGCTCTTTTACTTTTCTTCTTCTTTAATTTTTAAAAACACTTCAATATTTAATGTCCTGACCAGCAGCAGTACAAACACTAAAAGCAAGTTTTTTTTTGCCCAGAAAAAAACAAAAAAAAAACACAAACAAAACCCCCAAACAGGAAAACAAACAAACAAAAATCCCCCAAAACCACATATTAAAAATGGCAGGCTTTTTATAACAATAATTAAAGTAATAAAAACATACAAAACTTTTTTTTTTAATATATATACACAGTACAAGGCTGAAGCACCTTTGACTTTTCTCTCAAAATTTGTTTATATGAAAACACCGCCCACTGCAGCAACAATTTGGTGGGTGTGAATATATGTATACATAGAGCTCTGTACATTTCCCCCACGGAGTAATAAAAAAGGTACCTTCAGTTTGTCGATTTGCTTTATCTTTTAGGTAAGAGCTTTTCCAGGGAAAAGCCTAGAGGTGAGGCTTCAGTACTGTTGCTTTGTGTGCTCCTAGGACCTGTTGCTTTGAAGAAAATTTTGCAGAAAAGTAGTAACTGAAACAAATAAGCCCTTTACTTAAAAAGCACCCCACCTTCATTCAGCTGAAGCAGGCCTCAGTCCCAGGGAGGAGTGAGACCGACCCCAAGCCGGAGCAAAAGCAAACTTGGGTCTTCAGGCATAGTAATATGGCAACACAAGAAACAACACAAGCGGCTTGATCCAATCTTATGCACCCAGGGGCTATGAATGATAGAGTTTTAGTGTTGGTAATGGAGCCTTCGTTTTCAGATTTTAAAATGGTGACATGGGGAAAGAAAACAAAAACAAACGCCTTTTAAAAAAATATATGGGCGTCATCCTACATTGGTTGCTCACTGAATTACAAAGGTGATTTCAATTGCATTGAAGTCAAGGCGAGTTCGTTCTTTCTCTGGAGCCTGGAATCCTTTGCTTCATGCATGGCACATTCTTATTTTTTTTTTAAGCTTCAAACCTCCCAGTGAAAAATATTAAATATTCAAGGTAATAAAATAGATAATATTTCTATACTATAGGTTCGGCCTAGTGCAAGGGAAACCGTCACCTAGGATATCCCTTAAAGTAACCCCTAGGCCAATGCATTGCAGGCAACGCAAGGCACTTCCGTAAGTGATCCAGTTCCGCCTGGAGTCGCTCCCGTTCTGAGACAATCTTCTGTTTCTGGCTCCTCAATTCCTGCAGAGAGAGAAATTCACATGAAACAAACTGGTTTCACAGAACTGTAAGAAATGTGCTGGAGGCCACTTGGGAAAGCAAACCTTCGGCACTTTGAAAACAGCCTCCTCCCAGTGGCTTCCAGGGGCAGACAGACTGGTTCTTCCCAAGTCGTGGATGCTTACAGTACCTGCTCTCCCGGAACCAGCGCCCACTGCTGGCTCAGCGTCAACCCTGAGATTTTAAAAATGAAGCCCTGACACTATAAAACTTTTTGCTGCTTCAGGAGTGGCCAAGATGTGCAGACCTGATCTGCAATAAGTCCCATATCCCCATGAGGAGGAAGCCCTCGGGGTCGGTCACATGTCACAGTTGGAAGACCTGTTGAACCAGGCTGTAAAGGAAGGAGGTGGTTTGTTTTCCTCAATAACTTTACTCCTTCAGTAAAATCCTATTCCTTCCTCCTTAGCAAATCACAGCAGGGGAGGCTGACAAAGGCAATAAATAATTTCCCCAAAAGGGATATATATACACACACATATATAAATAGCACCTTCATCCTTCTAGGATCAATATTCTGCAAATTAATGATGCCTTTCCCCCACTTTATTGATTTGAGAGAGACAGAAACATCAATGAGAGAGAACATAGACTGGCTGCCTCCTGCATGCCCCCCACTGGGGATTTGTCCCACAACCTGGGCAGGTGCCCTGACCGGGAATTGAACTGGCACCTCTTGGTGCATGGGTCGACACTCAACCACTGAGCCACACTGGCTGGGCGATGCCTCCTTTCTTAGCTAGGGTCATTAACTGATCCCTGAATTTTCTCCCTAAGACAGTTTTAAACTCTTAAAAGCAGGATTTTCCCTCAAAACTTGTCTGTGTGGGTGTTCTTTAACCCAAACTTGAAAGGTTAAAAAAAAAAACAGTGTGTTTTGCCCTGGCCGGCTTGGCCCATGGACCAAAGAGTCACGGGTTCGATTCCGGTCAAAGGCATGTACCTTGGTTGTGGTTCAGTCCCTGGCCCTGGTTGGAGTTGTGTGAGGGGCAACCTATCTAATGTGTCACTCTCTCATTGATGTATCTGTCTGAAAATACATGGAAAAATATCCTTGGGTGAGGATTAAAAAAGAAAAAAGCTTTGTGATTTTCAGAGCCCTCGCCCCCGCAGCTGATTTGCAGTCCTTCCCCGTGTGGTGCCCCAAGCCTCACCACCATGCTGTGTGAGAGCTGCTCCGCTGTGACACTGAGGCTGTAGTGCTGGGCCTCCAGCCGTCTGCACTGTGCCTGTAACACCTGCCGCTCCAGGTTTTGCTCTGAAAAAGACAAGCCATGTTGATATATTTTCTGTACACAGGGGCCACGGGCCCTAGCAATTGTTTTCTTCTCTCTAATGCAGCCAGCACACTCCTCTCCTTTGGACCACAATGCTCCCAGCTCTTTGTATCACGTTGGTAAATATGTCCATGTTACTAAATAAATCCAGTCCCGTGGAATCAAAGACAAAGGATTAAAGCATCGAAAGGCAATTTAAGAGATACAGATTAAGAAACAGTTAAGGGTAAGTTTATGGCCTTAAGATATATTTTTCAAAAAAAAAGATGAAAAAATAGGAGTTATCCTTGCAAGTTTTTAGGCTGCCATAAAATGGCCAGAATAAACTTAGAAATTCAAAGCGGCATTTTAATTAGTAAAATAAAATCTCTGCCTTTCCAAAAGATTCCAGGCCTGGTTTTAACAGAAGCATGATTGCAAACTTTCAAGGATAAACCCTACTTTACATGAAGAGTTTCTGAGGATAAAAACCAAGGAAGCCCTGACCAGTTTGGCTCAGCAGTTACAGCATCAGCCCAAGGACTAAAAAGTCTTGGGTTTGATTCCTGGTCAAGGACACATACCTCTGTTGCAGGTTTGATCCCTGGCCCCCATCGGGGTTGTATGAGAGGCAACCAAGTTGATGTTTCTCTCTCTTCCCTTCCTCTCAATTCTATCTAAAAAAATCAATGGGAAAATATCTCAGGTGAGGATTAACAACAAAACAGGGAAGGCTATGCTACCTGATTAATTTCATAGAAGCTAGAACAGTTATGATAGCAAAGAGGTTGCCGGTTTGATTCCTGGTCAGTACGGATGCCCAGGTTGTGGGCCCGATCCCAAGTGGGGGGTATGCAGGAGGCGACCAATTAATGTTCTCCCATAGATGTTTCCCTCTCTCTTCCCCTCTCTAAAATCAACAAAGGAAAAACAAACAAAAAAACATGTGAAAATCTTAAATGTACTAAAACAAGTCAAATGCAGCAAGGAGGAAATAACTTTAGAAAACAAAGATGAAAAAAATCGGGTCATCATCTCAATGGGTTAGAAAATGCATTAGTTAAAACCTTTGACAACCATATACCATAAGCTCAGCAGCAAATGGGATGCTTTAACGGACTACTTCTCAAGTGTCACAAGATGAGAGCCCTGTTGGTGCCTCTACTCAATGGCTAGAGGTTCTAGGCAATACAGTATGATGAGAAAAAGTTAAACTTCAAAAAGCAAGAACTAAAATTTAATCCTCACCCAAGGATGTATTTTTTTATTTATCTTCAGATAGAGTGGGAAGGAAGGAGAGAGAGGGAGCAAGTGAGAGAAACACTGACATGAGAGGGACACATTGACTGGCTGCCTCCCGCACGACCCTGACCGTGATGAACTGCAACCAAGGTATGTGCCCCTGACTAGAACCTGCGACTCTGGTCCCCGGGCTGATGCTCTAACCACTGAGAAAAACCGGCCAGGGCAAAAGAACTAAAATTTTAACCTTCAGAAAGTCTGATCATCTGTGATTATCTAAGGAATAAGGGACAACAAAAAATTTTAAATCCACGATAACAAAATGGTATCTAAACTCATACAAAAACACTGCTCATGGAGAAAATCAGCAAACTTTATTTAATAAAACTTACTACTGCCCTGGCCAGTTTGGCTCAGCGGTTAGAGCGTCAGCCCACGGACAAATGAGTCGTGGGTTTGATTCCAGTCAAGGGCATGTGCCTCGGTTGCAGTTTGTCCCCAGCCCTGGTTAGGGTCGTGTGGGAAGCAGCCACTCGATGTGTCCCTTTCACGTCGATGTTTCTCTCTCTCTTCCTCTCTCTCCCTCCCACTCTGTCTGAACAAAATGGAAAAGTGTCCTTAGGTGAGGATAAAAAACAAACAAACCCAAACTTACTACCATATTCATAAATGGAATAGCCATTATCAAAGATGTAAATTCAACACAACTGGAAATCCTAACGGGGATCTTTTGGGTGGAAGAAATAAGGTGATCCTAAAAGTCATGGGGGAAAGCCCAGGGCCAAGAACAGCTGAGCTGTTAGAAGAACAAGTCGGCGGGTTACCCCCACAACAGAGCTGCAAAGACATGGTGTGACAGGGTGAGGACGCTGCATGATGGGGGAAGAGACACCCCGTAAACCACCAGGACAACTGGTTGTCCAGGCGGGAAAGATGAAGTTACATGTCTACCGTATTTTGTGTACAGAAATGAATTCTAGGCACAAGAGAAGCAGAACTTGAAGACTTTCAGAAGGAAATGCAGACTATTATGTCCTAGGGGATAGGGAAGAAATTCCCAAACAAGGCACCAACAAACAACCCAGAGAAGGCAGATACACTTCACTCCACTGAAATGAGGAATAATGCTATACACTGCTTTCAGATACATACATATGTAAAGGAGAACATGTAAGTGATGGACAATTCAAGTGAAGGGTTCCATCTGAAGGAGGAAAGGAAGTAAACTATAGGACTCGAAACTCGGGTTGTGGCTACATGGGCATCCCTTTGTTAGTCTCTGGCTTTTCAAAGTATTTGAAATGATTATGATATTCATAATCAAGTATCTATATTTAATAATATTTTTTTATTCTCACCTGAGGACATTTTTACATTTATCCTCAGATAGAGTGGGAGGGAGAGACGGAGGAAGAGAGAGAAACATCGATGTGAGAGAGAGACATCGACTGGCTGCCACCCACACAATCCCAACTGGGGCTGGGGACAAACTGCAATGGAGGTACATGCCCTTAGCGGAAACCGAACCCAGGACTCTCTGGTCTGCGGGCCGATGCTCTAACTACTGAGCCAAACTGGTCAGGGCAATAATATTTACAACACATAACACTTGGTAAAAGTCTTCTATGACACAGTAATAAATAAATTAGGAGGTGGCAGCCCAGGTTTGCTAGTTGTCGCTGGTACTTCCCAACTCCTATAAACTGGGCCAGGGCTCACCATGTCAGTGGGACCAGTTTCTCCACGGACCTGTCGGTGCTCTGCTCCTCGCTCTCCCCAGTAGCCCACCTGCCTGTTTCACTATGGAGGGAGGCTGGGCACCTTCACCTCTCCCTGCGTCAAGTTCACAGCGCCCCCGTCTCCATCTAGCAAGGCGCCCTTGCAGCCGGCTCAAGGAGAGTGAGGCGAGGAGAAGGGCGGTCGTGTGCTAGAAGCACAGTGATAATGCACAAGCCTCGGACCCCACCACTGGGTACACTGGACCAGGGTAGGAGGGTGTACGTGCCAGAGTTCCCCCAGGATGTGTTTTGCCAGGCGGGAGTGGAGTGTGCACTCAAAGCTGAGAATCAAACCTCCGGTGGCTAACGGGGAGGAGAGGGGGACGGGACGGGACTGGGCGGGGGCTTGTCTCCCTGCACCAAGTGCTAGTCCAGGAGAATGACGGAGCCTGGGAGGGAAGCTGCCGCTGGCACTGAGTCACTTCAAACGTGAAGCAGGCTCGGACAGAGTTCAGGCCTGGCTACTTGGAGCTCAGCTAAGTGAATGTTTTCATTTCCCAGGACCCTTGTATGTGCTGGGGGGTCAGGACTGACAAGACAAAGTACAGTGGAAGACAGCACAGAGAGCAATTCCCCTGGGACTTAAATTTCTCCAGTGAGAAGGGTCTCAAGTTTGTCCACGAGGAGTCACCACTATAAATAGGCCCGGGCACCTGCAGAAGCCTGAAGAACAGTTCTTGAAATGGGCAAACAGCTGAGGCAGATTTACCGTATTAGTACCTAGCTGTGCCCCAGAAGACGTGCCGGTGCTATCACCTAGAAACAGTCCCCGATGCTGGCGGTGAATCCTGCACTGACTGGGCTATTACACTCGTGCTCCCTTTCTGCACTGGGCCCTCGTCCTGCCCCCGCTCCCCTGCGTACCTTCTATGTGTTCCTGGTACGCTTCAAAGATCGCCTCAATCCCTTGCCACTTGCGCCTGGGGGGTTCCTCGTCATCCTCGTCTCCATCCTCGTCTCCATCCTCCTCCTCCTCCTCCTCGGAGTCCTGATCCGTCTCCTGTGCGAGGGGGCCCTTCCTCATGGCAGGGGGCTCCTGCTGCCCGTTGTGCTGGGGCAGAGGGAGCCGGCTTGAGGACTGCAGCTCGGGAATGTTGTAGTGGACAGACGTGTCGACCTTGTGGTTCTGCTCTGCAGACAGCACGGCTCCATTCCCTGAGGGGGAGACACAGCGGGAATGCAGTGCAGCAAACCCTGCTCTCCGCCCAGCAGCGACCCACCAAAACGCGGGAGAGGAGGGACTCTGGGGGCTCCCACGTGGGGCTCGCACAACCGTTAGGGTACAAAGTGCTCGCCAGGCCCACTGAGTAGTCATTACAGGACGGAGAGATTTCCAGGGGAGCCTGTGTGGGGGACACTGGGAGAGCCCTCAGCTGTAAGGACACGTGGTACTATTTCTGCACCTCGTCTAGCCTTACTAAAAGCAGCGCCCTGAACTCAGAGGGCACCCCATGTTACATTTCCTCCAAGTGCGGTGCGCAGACCGGCAGCATCAGCATCACTGGGGCACCTGCCAGAAATGGAGACTCCGCCCCAGACCTGCTGAGGGAGGGTCTGCCTCTAAAGACCTCCAGGGGGCCTCGTGCACTCAGGTTCCAGAGGGGCGAGCCCACGCCTGCTGCCTGTGAGCGTCAGCCGGCAGCCTCCTTACCTTTGTGCTTCTGGAGGGCCTTCTGCGTGGACTGCAGCACGGACTCGTGGAACTGATGTGCAAACTCTTCTGCCATGAAGGGCTCCCACGGCTTGCTCTTCCCGTTGATGCTGTGGGACAGTGGCACGGGAATGTCCTTGGGCGCGGGGCCCCTGATGTAATGCAGCATGCTCAGGCTCTTCTTGCCCCCAGGGCCCTCATTCAGCCTGGCCTTCTCGCCACCGGCAGGAGTTGGCTCCTGGACTCGCGACAGCTCCTGTGGCCGCAGCTGTTCCAGTCTCCCAGGCTCCGTGGCCTTTGGGACGTCACACAAGGAAGCAGCAATACCCACAGGTTTTTCCATATCCAGAGAGGTTGGCTGCGTGGCTGGTTCTTTTAGAGACAGAAAGCAAGGAAAATAGTAAGAGCTACAAGAGACCAGGTGCACCCTGACCTCTACAGCTTATATTTAACAACGACCTCGTACAAAGGACCGAGACTCAGGGGGGTTGTTTAATGAAATGTCAGTGTACGTTGTATGGCCTGAAGACAGGGTGTGGTAGCAGCAAGTCCATCCTTGGAAAGTGCCCCAAGAAGACATCTGAGAAGAAGAAGAATCTGAAGGAAGAAGCAAGTCGCTTCGAGTCATCCAAAAGGTAGGAAGTTCTGTAGCCCAACCCAACAAGAAGGACTGCGTTAGGAGTTAAAAACTGGGCTGGATAATAAAGATCTCCTGGCTCCATTCAGCAGCACAGCGATGTATAATCGAAGCCATAAAAGAGAAAGAAGGTCTGAAAGCAGATGTTGGAGAGGCCTGGCAGGCAGAATGAGCAAGACAGATGCAGGAGGAAAGTGCCAACGAAGGGCAGACAGTAGCAGCAGAGCCGAAACAGTGGTGCTGAGACCTGGATACCGGGCTTCGGTGGCTCAGGCCACCACTGGACTGATGGACGATGGCTACAACTACACTGACCGCCAGAGTTCTGCGGAAGCCGAGACCCTCCCCCCTTAACTCTCCGAGCCCTGACTTCCAACTCTCGTGTTCTGGCCCGAGGAGATCTGTCAAAATCACGGAGGACGCTTGTATGAGAGAGAGAAGCACACTCTGTCTCCAGGAGGAAAGATTTGAGATGAAGACCTTGAGCCGTCGTTTCTGACCCTGGGCAGCCCACAGGACAGTCCTGGGCAGCGGCGGATGGGGCTGTTCTTCCCGCCCTGGGCCTTACCGCTCAGGGAGACAGCAGGACTGTCCCTCGGAGAGTTTCTGAGCGAGTCTGCCACTGCTGCCGACAGGGCCTTCTGCTTCATGGCATGGAGCATTTCGACAAGTTTCTCTTTGTCTGTGAGAAAAGCAGCCTGAGATTAACAAGACAGTTGCATCACGTCTGAGAGGGAAGGGGAGCAGGATTCTAGCCCAGGCTGTGACTGGCAGGTGCGAGTCCTTTCAACCAAGAGGAACACAAAGCAGGCACCACAGGGACAGGTGGCGTTTAAAGGAAGAAACCTTCACGTTAGAGAAAGCCCAGCTTCCTCGCGGCTTTCGCTACGTAACATTTCAGACGTGTTCCAAAAATAGCTGTGTGCACGCGGTGATGACAGCTACATGAAATAATGGTACCTATGATCTTCCAAGGTGACTTCTGAGGATGCGTTCTTATTGAAAAGACAAAACACAAGGCAACAACTCGGAGATCCACGCGGCACCTCTGGAAGCACAGGCTGCTTCCAGGCGGTCTCTTCTCCCTACTCCTGGTGCACGGGCGCAATTCCCATGATGGCTGCCAGTTACTGAAAAGGAACCGACTCCTGTGATGCTCGACGCCATGGGTTCCCGTTGCAGTGGCACTTCTTGCTGAGACTTAAGTGGCCACATCACTGGTAGCTTCCTCGAGGAATTAAGTCAGGTGAAAAAATACCTTTTTATGAACAGAACTATGCGTGTTCCCAGGGATTTATTCTGTACTGGTCAGCAACAGGTCACTGCCCCTTCTAGGTGAAAACGAGAATTCTAGCTTATTGGCTAAAGACAGAAGAGTAAAATGCTACACCCTAATAATGAAGTGAAGTAAAAGCAACTAGATGGCCAATGCACACTTTTGCTTTCTTTCTGACTTCCTTCCAGAAGAGGTGACCAGGTGTGTCAGCAAGGGGTCGTGGAAGTGTGCAAATGGACACTCCAGACGGGCCAAGTCCTCACACCGGCCAATATCCTGCAACTGAGTGTGTGCGTGGGGCAGACCGAGGAAGTGGACATCCCCAGGAAGTTCAGACCACACCGTGTCTTCTCCACGACGTGTTTCCAGCTCCGTCAGCCCCAACATGGCCAGTGGTCTGGAAGCTCTTTCAGGGCAAGCCACCTACTCACAATGTGTGTCAGCTCTGCCTGGTGGCCACAGACCAAGCCTGTCATCAGAGCACAAAGTCCATGGGCCATGTCAGCGGCCCAGCAAGAGGAAACACCCCTACCATGGAGCCCGCAGCACTCCGCCACAGGAGGGCGCACCTGTGCCTCATGCCCAGGAGGGTCTCTGAACCCGCCTTCTCAAGGGACAGCTGACAAGAGCAGGTTTACATCCAGAACAGACACTAACAAGTCTTCTTTTCCACCCCAGATCAAAAGAGAAAACAGGCTTTGAGTGGGACAGTCTGAGTTTCAGATGGAAGAAGGCAGAGGTGCCAGGGCAGGTCTGCGAGAGCAGAGGGACTGCTGCTTCCCTGAGGAGCCAAAAGGAGTTAGGACAGCCCCAGGGTCAAAGTGTTTGCAGATTCTGCCTGGAACATGGGTCCCCGATACCCCCAAGAGTCTATGAACCCCACCCCCAGAAGGCCCAGGTGAGACCCTACCTTTCCTCTTCTCGGCACTGATGTGGGTCAGGTTGAAGATGGTCAGGAACTTCTTCTTCTCTTCGAAGTTGGGGCTGCTGTTCATCTCGTCGGGACTATAGCGGGTGAACAGGGCCAGCCTCGGGGAAGGCGTCTGCCGTTTGTTCTGAATCGTCGGGGGAGACGGGCTTCTCTCTCTCAGCATCCGCCGCCGCTTCCTCCGCTTCTGGGTCAGCAATTCCTCCTTCTGCTGTTGGGTGGTCAAGCCAAAAAGTTGCAAAAACTCTAGCTTCTGGATTGGGAAAGAAAACAAATGTGTTTGAAACCACCAGCAGTGGAGTGATCCCACTGTCCCCAAAGCCCCCGTACCATGGCCCACTCTGTGCTGGGCCTCAGAGGACGACCCTGACCGCATGTCCAGACACCTGCAGTCGGTGGGGTCTACTGGGACAGTGGGAGAGCCAAGAGGCAGGCGCTGACGTGGGCACCAGAGGCCCCGCCCGCAGCCTGACACAGCAGTGACAAGACCCCAGGTACCTCGGAGGACGTGTCCAGTTTGAGGGGCGGCTGCTCGGCCACGCAGCGGAGGTGGGCCCTGACCTCCTCTTCATCACTCTCGTCATAAGAGTCATCCAGGTCATAGTAGTATCCTGATGACAAGAACAGATGTGTTCAGCTGGGCACAAACACTCGGTTCCCCAGTGGATGGACACCCCTATGATCTGTGTGTGTAGACCCACCCATCAGGTCTGGCCCTGCTGGCCACTTTTAGCACCCCCAAACCTTGATTCCTTTCAACTCAGGAGAAAATGTGCATTAACTCCTAGTCCTAGAGCTTTTTCAGGATGGGAGGCGGGGGCAGGAGGCAGACACCGGGCCTGGCTTGGACCCATAGCCCCTAAGTAGCCAGGCAGTCCTTGGGCTGACACGGATCCCCAGCAAGGGACCATTTGTCACACAGGTCTAGGGCTGTGTCCATGGCAACCCAAGACTGTGCACATCCACTCCTCCTGCTGTGGCCATCTGGGCCCATTACCCAGGAGGGGACAGGCACACTCAGACCCTGCCGTCTCAAAGGCACAGAGCACACACGCGATCTCACTGTGCAGAGGACAGCAGCACAGTCCCTGCACCCAAGGGCACCAGGGCCTCCTCACTTTTCCTTCGGGTGAATGGAGGAAAAAGTCCTTGGGTCCTAAATCTGGCCTAGATCAACAACCCAGGAAGACTTGGCCTCGGCCCCAGCTTCTGGCTACGAGACTAAATTCAACACCGCACAGGACCCAAGTTTCCAGCAGGAAAAAAGAAACTGGTCTGGGGCCCCTGATCCTTCCTGATCATATGGGGGTTGCAGGTGGGGACAGTCATTCTCACCCTGGGCCTGCTCACCTGTTCTCCTTGGCTCTCTGGGAAACCCAGGGAGCTGCTGAGTGCCCCCCACCCCACAGACCTCTCGCCCTTGCCCCTGCCCAGACCTGCCTGCCTGCAATTATGATGGCAGCTCCCTATACAGAGCCCGACTGGGCCCAGACCCAATATCTCAGCAGCCTCCTCCCCTGCTATGATGCAGTTAATATTTAAAACTGTCTTATTAGCCTCTGTTCATCACTTATTAATCATGCATTTCTGTGGAACCGTCTCTACAGACAGGCTTTGATTTGGCTTTTTGAGACACTTTGTATTTCGGCAGCATGGGCGAGGGCCCGGGTCTATCTCCCCAGCAGAGGTGTCAGGTAGCTACACAGAAGCCAGTGACCTTGCTCCCTGGAGTTGCTAAAACCCCAGAGCGGGAGGCAGAGATGGCAGGAGGGGCCGAATGGCTGGCACTACAGCTCCCTCATCCCGGGAGGTCAGGGGCCACCTAGGGAAACCGGACCTTTCTCCTGGGCCTCTCGCCGCCTGCGCTCTTCCAGGTCCAGCTTGCTGACCAGCCTCCGGCGCTGCTGCAGGAACTCATCATAGATGTAGGCGGGGTCGGAGACCCGTGGCGCCGGGGGCCGGTAGGGTGAGCCCGGCTTCAGTGGTCCAGTGAGTTCCCCAAAGGGGGCGGGCTGGGTGAGGGAGGCCCGCTGCTGGCCCAGGATGCTCTGGGTGGACTTCTCGAGCTCAGCCAGGAAGGGCCCAGGCCCGTGAGGAAAGGGCTGGTGCTCTAGGCCCCCTGCCTCCCGCGGTGGCGGCTGGTACTTGTCCAGAGGGGTGGCCTCGCGCTTCCGGGGCCCCTCCTCCACCTTCACCAGCGGGACAGCGGCCTGGCGGCTGGGCTCAAACGGGGCAGGGTGGCTGTGCAGAGGGTGGCTCTCGGGGGCCCGCCGTGTCTCCAGGGTGCTGTCCATCAGGGACACCGGGTTCCAGAGGGCTGTGGGCACGGAGTGGTGCTGGGGCTTGGGCGAGATGAGGGGCGGGGGCCCGCCAAAGTGCTGCGGGGGGTCTCGGCTGCCCGGCTCATGACGGTTTGGTCCCGGCCTAGAGAGTGAGCAGACCAAGCCATCAGTCACGAGAGAATGGGCACGCTAGCCACCCACCCAAGGGCCTCCCAGGCTGCCTGCCAGGGCCTGGGTGTGAGAGGCAGCTTCAGAGGGGGCCCAGATGGGAGCCCCCTTCGAGAGCCAGGTGCCAGAGGGGTGTGAAGGCCTCCTTCTCAGCCACATGACCAGGGGCCGGAGGGAAGGACACAGCTTCCACTCCTCACCTGAGGGCTGGCCGTTCCCCACGGCTCCACTTCCTCTTCAAACAACTCGAGGCAAGTATGTGCAGACCTGCTTTCGGGAGGACATGGAGGCTGGGGGTGGGCGCTGCTTGCTGAGGGCACAGGGACGCTCTCAGGCCCGGGCCAGACCCTCCTCCTATCCGAGCTCTCGCCTTGCCAGTTCCTGCATCCCTACGACCTCCCGTGAGGACAGACCCTGACTTGTTCTCCACAGCAGTCCCATTACACACAGAACAAACAGGCCTCCGGCGCCACAGGGGTGGCCCTGCCGCCGGTACCCGCCTCCAGATGTGCCAGGCAGTGGGCGGACGGAGGGGGCTGAAGGCGGCCTTAACGCCTCCCTCCACACTGTCCTTGCAGACAGTGCCAGAGAGGCCAGCTTGCGAGGCCAGCCCAGCGGTGACGGGGAGAGACCCTGACAACCAGGGTGGGCCTGTGCCACTGCTGACCCCCAGTGGTCCCCATCAGAACTGCAGCAGCCCACGCGGCCCCGAAGCAGCATGGGGCCTGACCAGGATGGCCATCAGACCAGCAGCTTTGCTGGGCAGTCTTCCTAAACGACTCTTCAGAGCATTTAAACAAGATGCAACAGAAGGCTACTTGGGTGTTGTTTTTTCAGAGAGAAAGAAAGAAAGAAAGAGAATATATATTTTTTCTTTTTTCAAACACAGGTGCTATGCTGCCCAGATGACCAGGGCCAGGTCTGAGGGGATGTAAGGGGAAGAGGCAGAGAGCACTGTGGTACGTGACCAGGCTCTCAGACCTCTCCTTGCCTGGCCAAGGAAGGAGACATTTAACCACAGCCAGAAAGACTCCTCCTAGTGTTTCCGGGACGGGCCTCGGGCTGGGAGATAACCCTGAGGCTGCCACACCACTCTGATCCGAGCACAAGGGAACCACAGCAAGCTGTGTGTCCCTAAGTAAACAACAAGGGAATAAAGCTCGTTAGCAGAATAAATATGTCAAGCACCGGAGCCAAGCACTGAATGGTTTCCTAGCTCCGAGCACAAGGGCCAGTCAGAATGTCAAATTCAGGCTGCGTGTGCCACCTGCTGCCGTGGGGACCGCTGAGGCCAGGTGGGAGGTGGGAGGCCTGCGCACAGGGCTGCTGGGCCCTGGGGTGAAGGCCACCCCTGCTGGAGCCCTGACGGCGGCACCAGGATGCTGGGCCCTGCGCTGAGGAAGACGTCCGAGGGAATCAGAGCTGCAGATTTTATCAGGACATGTGGACGTGCACTGGCTGCGCTCCAGTCCCCGGGCACGAGGGGAGTCACCGGAGCAGAGAGCAGCTCAGAAACACAAAACCAAGCCTCTGTGTGGCGCCAGGTGGGCCAGAGCAGCAGAGGGTCGGGAACAGAGAGCAGACCTGAGGCTGCGGAATACCCAGCCAGAGGGTTTGCCTCCAGTTCACTCCTAGTCACACCCCACTGGCCAAGCGAATCCCTTTCAGACCTACTCAACAACGGACGCCAAGGCAGGGCTGCTGGACGGGCCAGCCGAGCCCAGGACACAGCAAGAAAACCCATCGGTCAGCCAAAAGCTGGTGGAAAGAGAGGGAGCGAGTGGGCATTTAAAATGCCCAGGCACCCAAGTGCTTCTTATCCCGGGGCAGCACGATGGGCATCAAGAGCTGGAAAGACGCTCAGAAATCTTCCTGCCCAGACAGAGCTCTGGAGGTTTGGCCGGGCTCTCCAGCAACTCCGGCTGAGGGTCTCAGCTAGGCCCTTTGGAATGAGCTCTAGAGAGGTGGGGGTAAGGGAGGACAGCAGAGGACTGCGGGCCAGCAGGCAGAAGCAGGGAGACGAGGGGCGCTGGGGCCCAGGTCACAAGCACGTGTCGCGGCCGGGGGCCAGAACCGGCACGAGCACCTCCCGGGAATTCTTTCATAGTGAGACCAGAAAATGGGTATATGTTCTCTTACCAAAGCAATCAAGTTCACTTTTTACCTAAAAATGAACGGTGATCCCTTTCTCACTCAAGTTTGGGCTTGAAAACAGAGGGAGAAAGAAAGAACAGACTACAGCGATCAATTCAAGCTCCTCCCTCCCGCTCTGCACATGGCAGGCAAGTCTCTCTGGAGACACAGCTGGGCTGCCGCAGGGCCCCGGCTCTGGACACTGGCTTGTGGGCTTTGCTCCTTAGGGACAGGGCGCCCCTGAGCACCTGCTCTCCCTCCTCAAAGTCTCCATTTCCTCGTGGGCAAATAACAGTCAGAGCATGAAAACGAAATGCAAGTGAAGACATTCAGCAGGATGCCGAGCAAACCTCAGGTGCTCGAGAAACGCTGGCTGACTACAAACCAATTCTGAGCGTGACGAACGCGCTCCCACACACCCTGACCCGGGGAGCCCTACCTGGCGCTCTCGGGCCTGTGCTCGGGCTCGGTGGGCACTGGGGGCCGGCCCATGTCCAGGTGCTGCTCTAGCACCTGCTGCCGGAACTCCGACACCTGCGACTGCCGGTCCTCCTTCTCCTGCCGCAGCCGCCGCTGCCGCGCCAGCCACTTCTCCTCCTCGTTGGTGCGCTGGATGAGCAGGGCCGTGGCGGCGCTGCTGCCCGGCAGAGAGAAGATGCCATGGTTGGAGAGAAGGCTGGGCATGGTGTGATGGGGGGTGGGCGCCGGGTGCAAGGGGTGCTGCACAGGCTTGGGTGCCTGCAGACCTACGTCCTTCAGCTTATCTGTGGGGGGAGAAAGGCCGTCACACCACAGCAGGTTCCCAGCATGCCAGGCCCACCTCGCTCCTGCCTCCTCCTCGCTTGCCCCTGACTGCCCAGAGCATGCCACCCCATGGCCAGGACCAAGACAACCAGGAGGGGCCTCATGCCGAGGGCAGTGTAGCCGCTGGCAGGTGCTGCTCCTGCCCAGCCCAGGGCCAGCTGACCTGAGGTGGGTGCTGGCAGGCTCACAAGAGCAGACTGTTACATTTTTTTAGGAATCATGCCAGCCAGTTGTTAAATGAGCTCTTACTGAAAGTTGGATAAGGCCCTGGCTGGTTGGGTTCAGTAGTTAGAGCATCAGCCCGAGGACCTAAGGGGCTCAGGTTCGATTCCAGTCAAGGGCATGTACCTGGGTTGCAGGCTTGACCCCCAGCCCCAGTCAGGGTCATGTGGGAAGCAACCAACTAATGTCCTCTCTCTCTCTCTCAAAATCAATGGAAAAATATCCTTGGGTGAGAATTAACAACAATAAAAAAGTTATATAGGTGTACTTATAATGAAACAAAATGTTTTAAAAAAACACAAAAAAGCCGTGGCCAGTTTGGCTCAGCGGTTAGAGCGTCAGCCCGTGAACCAGAGTCACGGGGTCAATTCTGGCCAAGGGCATGTTCCTCGATTGCGGTTCATCCCTGATCAGGGTCATGCGGGAGGCAGCCAGTCGATGTGTCTCTCTCTCCCCCTCCCACTGTATCTGAAGATATTTGAAAAAATATCCTCGGGTGAGGATTAAAAAAACAAAAAAACACAAAACATGCTCAAAGCTCATCACGTCCTAATCCCTGCACTACACTGTATTACTGTGCTTGTTCTTGAGGTCATCTATGTCTACCGTATCTGTACCGTGTCACCAGGCATCTCTTCCCAACCTCTTGTCCAGTGACCTTGGGTCTGAACCTGGGAAACAGCCAGGTGGAGTCTCTGCCGTGGAGTTTGCAGAAGCTACAGAACCGGGCCTTCCCCCAGGCCTGTCCCACCCACTGCAGCCAGCCCACCCACGGCCTAGGCCTGACCCTCCGGGTACCTGCTCGGGTGGGAGTCAGCTGCTCCGAGGACTTGGCCCGCTCCTCTGTGGCATGCCCACGCAGCCCGTGCAGCTCGGCCACGGGCAGGAAGGCTGGCTCCAGCACCTTGGCGGCCAGCAGCTCCTTCTCCCGGGCACGCTGCTCCCGCTGGCGCTCCAGCTCCCGCTCGCGCTCCTTCTCCCGCTCGCGCTCCAGCTCCTTCTCCCGCTCGCGCTCCTTCTCCCGCTCCCGCTCGCGCTCCTTCTCCCGCTCGCGGTCTGCCTCCCGTTCCCGCTCCCGCTCGCGCTCCCGCTCACGCTCCCGACGCAGCTCCTCGTCCATCTGCAGCCTGTGGGAAGCGGAGGGGGAGCCTGAGCTCCGCGGGGAAGGGGAACCGGGACAGTCCGCGAAGGAGAATTCCCAGCACAGAGAAACGGACAGCCACACCCAAGGCTTTCGTGGAAGACCCCAGCACTGTGCCTGAGCAGTGATGGAACTGGAAACAGTGTGAGATACAAGCCGTGCACTGACTCCCCGAGCCGCTGAGAGCTCAGGCCAGGAGGCGGCGACTGCAACAGTCACCAAAGCGTCAGCCGTCACCGTCCGTTTACTGGTGAGCAGAGGGCGCCGGCCCAGGACGGGACTTACCTCTCGGCGCTGAGGCTGGACATCCGCTCCGAGTGCAGCGCCACCAGGGACGAGTGGGACAGCTCCGGGGGGTAGCGGACCCCAGAGAGGTGAAGATGCATGGCCGATGGGTGCAGCGGAGGCAGGGAGCCGGGGGTGGGGATGGGGTAGAAAGGGGACCGCAGGGCAGACAGGCAGTAGGAGTCGTCCATCCTGTGCCAAGAAGACAGGCCAGTGAACACCAACATTAACGGGAAAAAGGCAGGACCTGGTCCTACAGCCTCCACGAAGGCCCGGCTGGGGCCATATCCAGGGCCAGCCCCAAGCCCCTTGCCGACAGAGGTCCCTAGATGCCGACAGCTCAGGGCTCCAAGGCCCTGCTGCCACCCAGAGGCTCAGCCAGGCCAGGACCTTTCCAGGTCTGACCAGCAGGCCCCAAGCGCACGCAGCCCACAGAGCAACCACAGCCCCGTCAGGCTCCTACCCTGGAAGCTTCACAGAGCAGCGACCACACACACTTCCAGTGGGGGGTTACGCAACAGAGTCCCCCTTGTCTACACGCAAACCAGTGCTCTACCAAGCATTCTGCACTGACAGTGAGACCGTGACAAAGGGAGGAAGTGGGAAATGCCAGCCCAGACAAGGGGAATTTCTACCGGGGCAAACCCCTAATGGCTAATCCGGAAGGTTGGGGGGCTGCTCCGGGCTCACTGGGCGTCTGCCCCCAGGGCATAAGAAACATTCCTGGCCAGGCTCCATTCTGCCATGAGCAGACCAGTGCCCGAACAGGAGAGCATGTGGGTGCCGCCTGGCACCTCACTGGGGACCGTGGAGGGCATTCTCGGACCCCTCACCTGAAGGCCGGGTGGGGGAAGGGGTGCGGAGCCAGGTAGCTGGGGTGGTAGTAGGCAGCGGCGGTGGCAGGGTCCAGGCCGAGGGGCGGCAGGGAGGACATGCGGAGGTCCTCGGTGGTGTGGTAGGGCCGGAAGCTCCTCAGGTAGTCCTCGGTCACCGTGCTGGGGGGCACCACGTGGTGCACAGGTCGCTGGAGGCTGCAGGCAGGGACAGGGAGACGGAGGTGAGCGGGCACCTGCTCCAAGCTGAGAAATGGGTCAGTCCCTCCACGCCCCCCCTGCCACCACCCCCTCAGAAGGACGCGTCTCTGGGGACAGGTTCCAGCTCTCACTAACGAGATGCTGGTGTTGGCAGGAGGCCCAGGGCACGGAGGTGGGCAGCGGCTGCTCCTCGCTGCCCTCACCAGCAGGCACATGTCTGCTATCTGCAGTCCGGAGGGACGCCTCGCCCCAAGAACCAGGACAGGGGTTCAGGCAGACCGGGGGCGCCAGTCATCATCTCAGCGTGCAAGCGGACAGCAGGCGCAGACGGGCTGCGGGCGAGGGCTGAGCCACCATCTGGCGGCCCCCGCCTCCGCCGGTGCAGGCTCCAGGCTCCCGGCTCCGCCCCAGGGACCCAAACCTGAGCGGCCGAGCCTGTGTCCCAAAGCCCCAGCCTGCAGACTTACTTGAGTGGTGGGAATCGGGAGTCCTGCACGACGGAGCTGGGGGAGATGCCGAAGGGATAGGGGGTGCTGAGCAGGTGGGAGGGGATGGCCGGGCCCCCTGCCTTCTCCTGGGGCAGCGGGGGCTCCACGATGAGGCGCTCTCGACCACTGCTGCTGCCCCGCGAGCTGGTGTCCTACGGGACAGAGCGGTGGGTCAGCGTGGGGACGGGGGGACTGCCACGAGGATGCGGCAGTTTGCCCCCAGACGCACAGAAAAGCCAGAGTGGTTCAGTGCCTGTTCTAGAAATACCCTTTCCTTGTGGTGTATGTGGTGCTGAAGGCAGAGTGGCAAGAAGAGAAAACATGGGTCCCAATGAGGGACAGGTCCAGACTGAAACCCACCTGGGGACCCGTTCCCTCCTCGGCGCAATGGGGAAGGACTGAGCCTTCCCCCCAGATGAGCACCCAGTGTCCATGAGGGGACTCGGCAGGAAGCAAGGGCTCCCCACCCCGCACAAACGCCCAAGCACGCCAGCAGGAATTTCCCGCAAGGTCACATCAGCTCTGCACCCAAACCTGAGCAGTTAGACGACGCGGCCCCCCCTGCCCCCCTCCCCGGAAGCGAGCTCTGCTCAGCAGCAGGCAGAACAGAACCCTGGGGCCCCGCCCACTGATCTCCAGATGCTCACAGGCATCCCCCAGGGGCCAGGGCGTCCGCGGTGCTGACAGCCTCGGGCCTGCAGCACAGATACCTTGACCGGAGGTGCCCAGAGTGACTCAGCCTCGAGAAGCCGGTGCTGCTCTGGAACTCAACATCCTGGTCTGTCCCCAGCTGACCCCTGGGGTGGCCTCGGCAGCAGCCGGAACAGAGCTGCAAGGTCTCGACTGGCCAGACCTGTCTGGGGACACCTTCACACACCGGAGGGGGTGATGGCTGCGGTCCGAGGCCCCACCTGCCCAACCCCTGGACAGACAGCGGGTCAGGGCCTGGCCGGGAAGGTAGAGCCCAGGGGCTGGCCCAAGGCATGAAGAGAGAGCAAGAGGTCTTTGCCAGGACCGAGGGCAGGCATGCCATCCCAGCCACACGGAGGGGTGTTCTGCATGCCCACCCACAGAAGCCTCCAGCCCCAAGTAGCCACACCGTCGGAAGGTTCCGATTGTCCTTGTCTGTGTGGCCGAAAGGAAGCCGCGTGGCCAGGCTGAGAGCACAGACAGCAGTCAGAGGGCCCTGCGGCTGTGACAGCCTCCGCCCCGGGCCTGCCCTGCACCAAGCCCCCGTTTCCTAGGCAGCCGTCCTTCCCGTGGCCGGGTCTGTGCGACGTCCGGTCTGACCACTACTGGCCAGGCAGCAACCAGGGCTCAGAGAAGGCAGGGGGCGCTCCCAGGGCGCAAACCCAAGTTCATCTACCCCAAATCCGTGGTGTTTCCACCTCTGACTACGAGCACATTCGGAATGACCGCAGAACGTGTGGCGGCATGCCTGGACCCGAGGGCAGGGCGCGGGGCCGGGGCCTGACCCCCAGAGAGACCTTGGCTCCCTGTCCCTCCGGCTGCTGCCCTCCCTGCTCTGCTGTCTGCATCGATCAGGAGGTGGGGGTTCAAAGCCCCCATTTATCTAACCCGTGTGGGAGGTGAGGGATGGATCACTGTGGCTGCCTATCCCTCTCCACACTGGCCAATGGGACACCGCGGAGCAGGCCGCTGACGGCGGCCGAGGCTCCCGGAGAGGGCCCACGCGTCCAGTCTCGCAGGCACGCTCACCACACACGCCCGGGCCACCGCCGTCCTCCGGAAGACACAGCCGCGGTAATTAACCGAAGGAGACAGGCTGCTGATTGGAATTTCTAATGAGCAGCAGCATCTGTTCCTTCCCGCGTGCTGGCAGGGGCCCTCCACTCACGGCGCGGCCCTCGCAGGTCACGAACCCTGACTTGCCCTTCCCAGAGGGTCGTTCACAAGGCGGCGTCAAGGACAGGACACACACATGCCCCAATGCCCTGGGTCGGAGTTGGGAGCCCACAACCCCTGCCTCCCAGTTTTCCAGAGACGTCTATTCAGGGGCTGACACACGGCCTCAGATAGCTCCTGTCCAGTCCTGGACACCCCTAGAGGACTCCCTTATAGAACTGCCCCGTGCCGCAGTTTCCCCATCTGTCAAGTGTACCGACTGCAACGCCAGCTCATAGAGCATCGACGTTGGTGCACAAGTGCAGACAGGAAGTGAGAGAAACCTGGGGGTCGGGGGTGGGGGCTCACACACAACAGTGCACCACCCCCAGCCTGAAGTCACCTCCGCTCCCGCACTTTTTTTTTTAAATCCTCACCCGAGGACATTTTTGCATTTATCTTCAGATAGAGTGGGAGGGAGAGAGAGAAACATCGATGCGAGAGAGACACATCGACTGGCTGCCACCCACACGACCCCAACCGGGGCTGGGGACAAACTGCAAATGAGGTACGTGCCCTTACCGGGAACCGAACCCGGGACTGTCCAGTCCATGGGCCGACGCTCTAACACTGAGCCAAACCGGCCAGGGCTCCACTCCTGCACTTCCGTCCACACTACCGACAGAGAGGCTACCTCCAGGTGGGGGCTTGCTGGTTCCCTCACACCCTCACCCTGCTGGGCACAGGGCCGGACCAGCCCACGTGCAAATGTCTGTCCCAAGGAGGTACCATGGCCCCACACCCACCAGCTCCAAGGGTCCACCACGGGGTAAAGCTCCTTCTCCCCTGCATGGGACAAAGCCCTGCTGAAAGGCAGCGGAGCCAGACGGCACCGTGTCCCAGCCTGGCCGACACCAACGAGGAGCTGAGAGGCCAGGGTAGGGGGGAGTGGCAGGCAGGGGGCTCACTGGGCCAGACCCACATGCCTTCTGTCTGGCTGGTGCCTTGTTAAGCTTGTGACAGGCACCTGGGAATGAGGTCAGCCCAGCTTGGAGGACACACGAGGGCTGACCAGGGTGGGACAAGCCCAGGCAGCAGTCCCCAACCGGGGCCTGGCCTAGGAGGCTCAGCCAGCCACCCCCGGGCACCCACCCGAGCCAGCCGGGCTCCCGCCGCCGTGCCCGCAGCCAGGCACGCGCTAAGAGCATCTTCGGGCAGCTCTTTATTCCTGCTCCGCGGCTGCTGCGTGGCTGCGGGCGCAGCTGTAGCGGTGGAAGAAAGAGGATGAAAGGGGGGCAGGGAGGGAGGAAAATCCTTCATTCTCCGGTGATCAGAGAGGTTTCCAGGCAGACAGACAGGACATGCCCTGTTAGCTTTAAAATAGACTATTTTTCATTTCATCTGTCCTTCCGAAGCTCTGACTACCTGGGAAATCTCAATGACCCCAGCGGAGGGCCTCCCCAACCCCCAGCACGCAGGAGGGCACCCCCAGGACTCCTGGGCTACCCCTTTAGGAAGTGGCTCCCCTCTCCTGCCCTTATGCCTCTCCCCGAGCTCCCCCCTCCCCAGAAGGATTAAATTCTCCACTGAGCCTTTGTGCTGAGCTGATGAGCCATACATCAACGGCTGATCCAGCCCCTCCCCCCCGCCCTCCCCGGTGGCATTAGGGTTTCATGAACCGCTGATGGCTGGAGCGGAGCTGGAGCTGCGGCCGGCCCTCTCTCTGGGGTCAGCGATGCTCTGGGCGAGGAGCCGCGGAGGAGGCCTGTGGCCGGAGGGGGCTGTTTACAAGGCACCCTGGGTCCTGCTGGGTGGGGAAGAAGCCCCCTTGGGCAGGAGCAACAGGGACAACTGGGGCCGTGGCAGCCATCACCAGCCAGGGACACAGCAGGACTCAGAAACCGCCTGGACCCAGCGCGTCGGGAGAGGCAGCTGCTGGGCCAGGTGGCGGACAGCAGCCCTCTCCGGAGGCAGCAGGCTCTGGGAAAGACCCCTTGTCCTCCCTCCCTCAACCCAGGACTCGGGGCAGCTCCAGCTGCTCTGCTCCCCTCTGGCCCGAACCCCCCTGCCAGGCCCTGCCCCGCTGCCCCGCCCCAGTCTCCAGAAGGCACACAGGGTGGAGCAAAGGACGCCACGGCAGAGGCTTCTGGGCAAACACGAGCACAGGGGCCTCCGCCAGGTGACAGACAGTCCAGGAGGGTTCGTCCAACATGGAGGCCAAGTTAGGGCCATACCCAGGGGGTTCCCAGAAGTCCCACTGGGTGCCTTGGGGACCTCACCCTAGGTCAGGACCTGCCTGACAGATGCGTCCCACCCTAGGGGGGCAGAAAAGAGACCCTGAGTGATGCCGCTGATGCCCACCCCCACCCAGCAGAGCGGAGCTGGGAAGGGGCGAGGTGGGAGTTCCCCCTCCCCCTCTGCTTTCTTTGTGGTTTAATTAGTATTTCCAAGTGTGCCATCCCTCAGGGAACTTGGCAGAAACACCCAGGAGAGAAGCACAGCGACAGTGTTCTTAATTAGGAAGGGCTCCCCGGGCTGGGCGTACCAGGTGCGGCGGGGGTGCAGCGGGAGGGGTCAGCCCTGGGCCGTGCACAGGAGTGGCCGCTCCCAGGGCCACCAGCTCCTTCCGCACCGGCGGTCACCTGGCAGCGGCCACGCACACAGGCCCCAGCGCTGGGGAGGGCCCCCTCGGCGGGAGTCAACAGGACAGAAACATAAAAATGCGATGTGAAAATGTGGATTGGCGCTTTCCTATTCCAGTCCTTTGAGCAACAGCTACAATAATAGCTATTGTTTATTAAGTGCTCGTGCCACGTAAACACCACTCTAAGTACTACACCTGGTTACGTACTGAATTGTCGTATGCCCCCACCCACAAATCCACGCTGGAGCTCCAACCCCCAGGCCCCTCATCCAATAGGACCGGTGTCCTCGTGAGAACAGGTTAGGACACGGTCGTGCACAGAAGGAAGACCGTGGGAACACACAGGGAGAACACGCTGTCTCCAGGCCAAGGAGAGCGATCTCAGGAGAAACCAGCCCTTCGAACACCTTGATCTCAGGCTGCCAGTCTCCAGAGCTGTGAAGACACTGGTAAGGGCCCAGGCTCCGGTGCTCGGTGGTGGCAGCCACAGAGGACACCCAAGAACGCACTCAACTCTGCGCAGACCCTGCTGGTGGGTGCCGCTGTCCCCTCACTCTGCAGAGAAGACGGAGGCTCAGGAGAGCACGAGTTTGGGGGTGAGGGATTTGCACCCTGAAATCCAGTCCTCCCCTATGGAAGGCCACCCTCCCCACACCTGTGGCCTGGGGTTCCCCCCGTCCCGTCCCCCCGCTCCCCCTCGCGGCCCAGGCACTCACCTGCCTGCTCTCGCTCCTCCAGACTCCATTGACAGTCTTGGTAGGGGCGATGGTCACCACGGGGGGCGTGCTAGGGACGCTGTGGCCCCCGGGGGGCACGATGATGGGGCCCATGGGCACCCGTTTGGGCGTGCTGGCAGGGGAGCTGTGGTTGGTGGCTGGAGAGGACACAGGGGACGACTCACTGCTCAGTGAAGACCCTGCAAGAGAAGGACACAGGGCCTCAGCGGTGGGCTCCGACGGCTCCCGCTTGGCTCATGCTCCCCGGCCCCCAGCCCAGACCCAGACCTCACGGACAGCACCCAGGGCCCCGTGTCCAGTGCAGGCCAAACAGGCGACCCCCAGATTTATCCCATCGCAGCAGAGATTCAAGCAGTGCCAGGCCCAGGCAGTTGGAGGCACACCTCTGCCCCCCCACTGGTGCCGTGAGGCCGCCCACCTGCAAGGTCACAGGGGTGCATGAGCTTGGCGGCTGTGTGCTCTGCTGGGCAGGGGGTGCAGGGCTGGCACCCGAGCACTTCTCGTACAGACTCGGGGTGCTAGCCTTGGTCTGGGCGGATCTGGCCTGGAAGCTCCTGACAGTCCCAAGTAGAAGCCCAGAGATGCCCATCTCACTCCCAGACTCAAGGGCAAATGCTGACCCCTCCAAGGGGTACAACTGGGCACCTTCTGTCTCCGAGGGCCCCACTTGGGGCACTTGCAGCCCAAGGGAGGTGGCGGAAGCAGACGTCAGCATAGACCTTCCCTTTTGGAAGGAGAATTCCATCAGCTTCGAGGCATCGTCCCCGGATTTTGTTCAGAACTGGTGTTGGTCCCAGGGACACCCGTCTCAAGTGGCCACTCCCTCTCACGTTACCAAATAACACCTCTCTGCCGGGCGGCCGGCAGCTCGCGTGTGCCGAGGCACCGCTGAGATGAAGGGAGTGGTACGCTCCCTTCTGACCCCAAGGCCCGGCCCAGCGCGGCCTCAGCAGCGTGACCAGGAGGCAGAACAGCCAGACATCAAGGCCCCACGGAAAGAGACAGCACTGTGCCCTGAGCCCGGTGCTCCCACCCCAGCCAGGCCTCTCCGGGTGGCCCGGGACGGTGCGCAGTCTGCACGTGTGGCCTAGGGCAGCCCTACAGGGAGACACTACACCTGCCCAGCGGCACCCTCTGCTCAGCAACCCCTCACTCCCAGCTCCCACCCGTCAGGGCCCGGCCAGGTGGGCAGCAAGGAGTCGTGTGCAGGACACTGTCCTGATTCTCCAGATAGCCCAGTCAGCCACAGCTCACACCCTGGAACCAAGGACTGGGTCTAGATCCCAGCTCTGCCACCCACCAGTGGGACAAGCTCCTAGCCTCCTGGTCGGATGCATACGGCCAGGCGGCAGCTGCTAGGGGAGGACGGAGGGGCCCTGCTCCCCCAGCGGGGAGGCCTCCGAGGTTCTGGAACAAGCTGGGGCTGCCCACATCAGCGAGACCAGCCAGGGAGGCAGCTTTAAGACCACTGTGGGAGGGGTGCTGGCTGGGGACTGACCCAGTGGCCCCCGGGGACCAGTGGGCTGCCATCCACTCTGACAGCTGATGGAGGCAAATCCTGGGGGTCAGCTGGGGAGGGCTCGACACCCAGACACTCATTCAGGTTTGTGCAACTTCGGGAAACTGCCTTCGTCACCTCAGGCTGTTATCTGCCAGGACCTGGCCTGGCCTCCTGCTCCTGGGTCTGTACCCGGCAAAGCAGGGCTGGTGTCCACCCGAGTCACAGCCAGGGGCCCCGGTAACTACCCCGAGGCACACCAGCAGCTGAACGGTGGTGTCAGGGTGGAGGGGGCACACGGCGAGTCACACCAACCCCACCACACAGCACAGGGGTGGGATGCAGACAGCTGTACCTGCTGGGGGGGGGGGGGCGCCTCACTGTTTCCGGACCTGTGGGTTCACTCTGCAAACTCGTCCTGCTGGAGGCTTATGGTCTGTGTACTCTCCTGTAGGCATTTAGACTTTCATAAAAAGCCCATTTAAATTTTGAAAATAAATAAACACTAGGCAGGGATCCTCCTCGTTAAGAAAGGAATCTCTGTCCTGGCCAGTTTGGCTCAGCAGTTAGAGCATCGGCCCACGGACCAGAGAGACCCAGGTTCGGTTCCCGCTAAGGGCACGTACCTCGGTTGCAGTTTGTCCCTGGCCCCGGTTGGGGTTGTGTGGGTGGCAACCCCTCGATGTGTCTCTCTCACATCGATGTTTCTCTCTCTCTCTTCCTCCCTTTCTCCCTCCCGCTCTATCTGAAGATAAATGCAAAAATGTCCTCAGGTGAAGATTAAAAGAAAAAAAAGGAATTTCCACGGACATCTCTCCCAGTCTCCATCTTCTGGTGCGTGCCCTCTTTACTGAGATGTGACTCGCACATCACTGAACTCAACCCTATCAGGTTCGTGACTCAGTGTTTGTAGTACATTCACAACTGTGCAACCATTAGCACAATCAATTCTAGAACGTTCTCTTCACCCCAAAAAGAAACCCCATACCAGTTAACATTCTCTCCCCTCCCCCTGGCTCCTGGCAACTACCAACCTGCTGTCTGTCCTCACGGATTTACCTGCTCTGGACATTCCACGTAAACGGGACCACTCAGTACGCAGCCTTCTGGGTTTGGCTTTGCTCACACAGCAGGATGTTTTGATGGTTCACCCAACTGCAGCCTGTGTACAGGACTGCATCCCTTTTCGGGGCTGAATAATACTCCACTGGATAAAGGGACTCTATTTTGTTGATCCATCATCATCAGTAGATGGTTGAGTGTGTCACCTCGTGGCTACTTGTGAGTGGTGTTGATGTAACCACTGCTCACAGAGCTCATGTCACTCGGCCTCAGGTGCTTGGCTGCCCGGAGGACCTGCTGTGTGCCCAGCCTGCACCCTGGGCAGCCCTGTCTAAACACCGTCTATGAGTGGAGGGAGGGTGGACATTCGTGCTCCGGAGCCAAAACAATAAAGAAATAAAACACACACACCGAGAGGCCCCACCCATCAAGGCAGAGGCTACAGCTGCCCGGAGGCCACGTTGGGGTCAAAGGCCAGATGGGCTCTGGTCCTGCAGGAGTTGGGGAAGATGAGAGCAGACACTGTGAGCCCCATCCTGCACCAGCTTCTGGGCCTCACCTTCCAAACTGGAGCCCCTGCCAGCCCAGGGGGCGGTTGTGAACCGCCGGGGAGACAGGGCCACCGGGCCTCTGCCCGCTCTCTCTTCCCTGCACACTACCTACGTCATCCGTCTCTGGATTAGCCTCCTTTCAAAGAATGAGGGAGCTGGGGGGGCACCTGGGAGGCCATCCACAATTAGTGCTTAATCCCTTGGGGCCGGCTGTCAGCAGCCAGCCAGATCACTCCATCGATCCCCGACCACGCACCCGCCAATTAGCAAGCGGCCGCCCGACCCGCGTTCTCAAGGCGGCGCAGCAGCGGAAGGGCCGTGACCGCTGTAATTAACTGGAGGCATGCCGCGGAGTCATTGGACACATGTGGATTGGGGACGACAGGAGGCAGAGTGCTCAGTGTCACCTCTGTTGTCTGACTTCGAGGATTAGCACCCGAGGCCGCCTGGGCACATGTAATTAACAGCTGAGACCCCAAAGTTGCCGCGAGGGGAGGGGAGTGAGGACTGGAAATAAAGCTGCAATGCGGTAGCAGCCCTGTCAGCGTCCTAGACGGGCACGTCCCCAGCCACACACACAGTCATGAAGCGCCAACCACACGCTCTTGTCAAGGACCTCTTTGTCGCGACAGGACCACCCTTGCCGGGGACACTGTGGAGTGCAGAGGGCAAGCACGGGTCGCAGTCACACCAAACAGCCCTTGTCCACCCCGGGCCTCATCCTGCACTGAGTCAGGCCGCCTAGCTTGGGGGAGTGACACAGAGAACAGAGAGGAGGGTGGGGACCGTCGGAAGCATTTCCCTACAAAAGGACCCTTGGGACATCATCCTGAAGGGTATGCAGGGCTGCAGGGCGCAGCACTGCATGGACAGCTCGGTTGCAGCTGCTACGTCTGCAAGCGATCTAGAGACAGAGCAGCAGGGGTCCCCCTGCCCAGCTGAGCTTTGTCCCAGGACAGGCACTGACCTGAGACCCACAGCCAGGCGGGAGGGAGCCCAGATCCTGTGCTCTGCTCACCCGGCCCCTCCCCTCTCCCCTCTTCTGCCTCTGTTCTGTCCCAGGTCACCCCAAATTGGTCTCTGGGCCAACCTCACACAGTGAGAACTTTGTCAGGCCGCCGCGACCCTGGAGACACCAGGACTCGGGCTGGCATCGGCAGACCCTAAGGCAAGCCCTCGGACTGGTGTGGGCAGTGTTCCCAATGGGAGACAGTTTCCCACAAGCTCACATCTCTCCAGGCTGCTCCTCCTGCACCCCCATTTCCTACCAGGATGTGGGAACCCGGGCCTCGTGGACTCATGCCATTTGGACCTGGAACGTGGCCTGTTCAGTGCTCAGTCCCGCCCCTTCGTGTGGGAGTCCCAGAGGGGCTGTGGGACCCGAAGGATCCTCCCAGCCAGCAGGCGGCTATGGGTCCCCGAGGGAACAGGAACAGTGGACCCCGAATCAAAGTCCAATCTGTGCCTGGTGGGAGTGGACGCATGCGGGTCAGGGAGATGAAGCCCCATGGAAAGCCATGGCGGCGGGAACGAGGTGGGAAACCCTCTGGACGCACACAGGCCTGGCCCAGTGGCGACAGCCGGGCCTAGGGCACCGCACAGCTGCTGAAAGACCTCAGGGCCTCTCCACCTGCCTGCCAGCTAGAGCTTCTCCACAGGGTCAGGGTGACAGTGGGGTGGGGGTCGGAGCCCTGCCCCACTCCATGACCCCAGCATGCTCCTGCGCCTGATTTATTGTCACGTGACGGTCACCAAACCCACACCGGCAGGTTTTTATTAGCAAATGCACTCCCAGGGACCAAAGACTTTGAGCAGGACTGGGAAGGACAGCGGGCTCCCAAATCTGAGGGGCAATGCTGCTGTTAGAAGAAGCCAAGAGGGACGCACCAAGGAGCTGAGGGATGTGGGGGCGAGGAGGAAAAGAAGGGAGGCAGAGAGGGCTTTAGTGGGTGGCAGGGAAAGTCACTGTGGCATCATCATGGGCAGGGGCGGCCTCACAGTAGTGCCCCGCTCAGGTCAATTCCCCTGTGCCCACCCCACCTTCCCTCCCATCTCACCGGTGCTCAAC